CAGATTAGGAACTCTTCTTTTTATCACATTACTTATACAGTACGTAATATGATAAAAAAGAAGAGTTTCATTCAGAGTTCATAGTCGTATTGTGCAGGCTTTAAACTTTAAAGTTCACGTCTCGGGTATGACTCCGGCATACTTGTAATGGCACGATGTGACGCGGCGAATGGCGAGGATATGAGGTCGCTATAAATGACATGATCGCGCAAGACGACTGAGAGTCACGGTGATTTTCTGACTTGTGGACACTATGCCCCCTCCCCTCTCTCCCCCACTAGTCGGGATGAGACGCCAATGTCACCTCCGTGCCTCTCCTGATTGGTCAGCAGAGAGACTCATCACTTCCATCCGCTGATCCCATTGTTGTAAATCGGATTCAGTGTCTGCCTGTGGTCCTAGTCAGCTGCAACTTCTGCGCCTGTAAGGACTACAACACGATCGCGTCTTGTAAAAGCGGGCAAGAATGAAAAGCAACAAGTATATTATTATTATTTTTTTAACGTGGACTGGGACGGACATACACAGACGAGGACAAATGCCACAAGCGGCAACACAGAGTAAAGGAAAGGGATTTTCTATATCGGACATCCCTGACGGCATTACTCCCACCTTCCCACGCTTCCTGTCATAATGTATCCCGTTTTAACGGGCCCGGGGAAGGTGGTGGCAACTTCGATGCTGCTCCGGCCATAGGAGCGGCATCATCCTCCATCGCTGCACATCGGGCCGCCAGGGTGCTATTGAGGTGCACCAAGCCCCTACCTCTCACACAATAGAGCACAGAGTGGCCTATGCTTCAGCCCAAGGGAGAGCAGGTGGTACCCGAAAGCAGCCGGGTGAACTGTCGACCCAGGAGAATACCGCCTGCCGCCTTCGGATTCGAACCTGGACCCGCGTGCGCACGGGCCCCTTATCCACTGAGCCACGGTGACGCGGTCGCAGCAAGTATATTAGGTCTCTTGAGTTTCACTTGCGGATCCGATCATGAAGCTGTTCTCAGGGTAAGAAACGTGATACAGTACCAGTGCTTCAGCCGGTCAAACATATGGTAGTTGGTACTCTCATGAGGGTGAGGTGGGGGAGGAATCTGGGGGAGTTCCAAGGGATCCGGGTATCTCTGCCAAGTTTCAAGGGGGCATTTGTGTGTAGGCCACTCTTGGCTTTTCCTGCATGCACATTTGGCACATCGCACCCCCTCGTCTTTTCCTCATATTTCACAGATACTTTATGCTGGACAAGCTGGCATATCCATTTGAATGGCAGGCATCGAATCAAGTTTAGTTCCTTGCCCGTATTCTCTTCCCGTATACATCAAACCCGGTTTAAAAGAAAAGTTTATTCGTGGAACTTGAAGGGTAATTTTCCGTAATATGAATATTTCTGGGAACGGTGATGATCTCTAAAACCTGCAATATTTTTGTCATGCCACCTTAGAAGTACAACGCACTGCTAAAAAAAAAAATGGCCACCTATGTTTCTAGTTTTCTCGTTCTAATTTTCTTGGTCGAAATAATTGCTAATCATATTAAGGTACAATGCACAAAAAAATTAGTTTGACTAGTAAGATTTTATCGGTGGTAAGGTCTCTCTCCAATGGTGCGAGGTGACTGATTTCAGCTTGCTACGCGTCGTTCTATGGAATCCCGATCATGTTCTAGGGGGTTGAGGTCTGGTGATCTTGCAGGCCAGTTCATGCATGTGATACCTTCAGTTTCTCAAATTCATTCATCAATCTTACACTGTGTGGATGATAATCAGTAAGGAACTGGGCTCAGAACCCCTTGCATGGGGTGGAACGACGGGTCGCAATATTTTATCTCTGTATCTCTGCCTTCTTACACCACCTTTCGCGAGTATGTGGAAGCCGTACATCCATCGATGCTGTTATAATGCTGCTTATACCAGTACTTACCATGACCCCATCGCCATCATAGGACCCCTTTATTTTATCAAATCTGGTCAGTGTCAACTTTCTGGCTCTCACTTTGAAGGAACACCGCCGAGAATCACTCTGTAACCCAAACACAAGATCGTCTGTGAGCAGTACTAACCTCCATCTGCCCATGATCCACTGCCCGAGCACATGAAGCCATTCGCGCAGACTCATCTTATGATTTTAATTTTCATGCCAATTTTATCGGTGTATTATATCCTAACGTGGGCAGCAGCCATTTCGACCGAGTGGGTGCCAGAGTATTGGAAACACAGGTGACCCTTTACTTTTTTTCGAAATGGCATATGCACAATGCAACAATAGTTATTGTGCTAATTATATATTTCCAAAAGTTTGAAGTTTCAATAAGTGTCTATTCCGAAGATTTTTCTATTACTGTTCGTGTTTATGTAATGTACAGAGTGGCATTTTATAATGTACATCCATCATCAGGACTTCGTTCGGAAAGAAATCCAGCAATTCCAATTAGGCCTACCTTGTTGTGATCATGGTGGGGTGGAAGGGATGACGCAGGGCAGTCGAGTACCCACCACGATCGCCTGATCTTTTTTTGTTTTAAAGACAGGATATGAACATAAACGACAACGGACCTATTACAGTACAGAGAGGAAGGGGGTCCCCGCTTGGCACTGGCACCACATCCGTATCACAATCCCCCAACCTGGGACACTCCTCGAAAGGTCCTAAAGGAGGCCAAAGGGGCAGCTCACGGGTTGCCTAAGCCCATGACTGGCACGAGTGATTTTTAAGGTGAACTGCACCCGTATCCCACCCTGCACCCTAGACGTGGCACACAGAGTAGCATGTGTGTTATCCCACGCTAAGCTGACACTCCCCATGTAAGCAGGTGGGTCGCCTGTCGACTCGAACTCGATCCCTCGCCTCCCGGGTTTCACCCGGAAGCCAGAACCATTCGGCCACCGAACCCCGGTCGACGATCGCCAGGCCTTACTCCCTTGGATTTCTTTCTGTGCACAACCCTGAAGATGGTTGCTTACGCAGATGAGCCAACGGCCATTGCTGAACTTCGACAACGAATAATCGAGGCCTGTGAGAACATCCCTGCTGACCTATGCGCTAAAGAGCGTCATTTTGTTGTCCAGTCCTGCTGCAAATGCCTCCCTGTCGCTGGCGGGCATTTTTAACAGTTACGTTGCTTCGGTTTCGCAGGAATTTCCTTCGATTGTTGTGTCACGCATGCCGAGCACTTGAGTTGCACACATCCCATGAAATATTTGTACGTATGGTATAAATATCGCCACGGAAAGAGTGTATGCATTTTTCAGCGCCATTTCTTATACGTGTGGGCAGACTTTCCTCTGCAGCCAGGAAAGTGAAGGAACAGTGGGATGTATCTATAGGTGATGAGAGGCATGAAAAAAGTAGGAGAGTTATTGCTAGCAATAAGGACAATGTACAGAAGACCATGACAGCTGCAATCGGTGTAAAAGTTGCAGGTGATGATGGATTCGTGAGCGATGAGTGGGGAGGAAGCCAATTGGCAATACGTTACACCCTTGAGAATTGGGAGCGTATTATCGCCTTACATAGCCTACTATTCAGCATTACCCCTGTACGGTATATCTCGGGATATACAATAGAGTTCTGATCTGATTCGCTTTCAGTAGGCACTAGAGCTTATTATGAGAGCACAATGCTTTGAATCCGATTAATGCTGCCCTCAAGCTGTTCGACTTGATAGCGTGAGCTTCACTTCTCTTTTCCCGGTTTTGCCTTCGCTTACCTGCACACACAGTACCTGTATTAAAGTGCACCAATTTTGAGATCATATGGGATATGGTGTCATTCCATCTCAAGTGTCCGAATTAAAAAAAAATTGCTGGCGGATTTTCCTATGGATTTTCCTGGAAATTGGCTTTGAGTTTTACCCCATTGAGTAAAAAAAAAAAATTTTTTGCGCTCATACCCTTTTTCATGATGTCCAGCATCAAAGGTCACGGACATGGGTATGCTCCTTTCAGGGCGAAATTAAAAGATTATGCAATATTGCAACAAAAACAACAAAAAGGCCTAAAGAGGCCTTTTTGTTGCATAAAGAGCTTTGGCATGAGGTATACTGTAAGCCATATTGAGAGCTTCTGAAACATCGAGATATTTGTCCACCTGTGACCTGAAAGTGACCTTTCAAGTCACAACTTTATTATGCCATGGGAATTACGAGTGTGAATTCAAAATGTGTGGCATTGCTTTTTTTTTTTAATCAATGAGGCCATATGCTAAATTTGCAGGAGATTCATATGTTCTCCACAGGTTGTCTGACACTCAAGGAGGAATGACCTTATGGCAAAAGAGCGCTCAAAATCGTTTGCCCTACCCTCGTTCTAAATATGGGAAGGTCTTTGCGGCGATTGCGCTTTTTGGCTTCTCTCCTGTATCGGCTCGGATCGTTGACGCAACGTGAACGCTTGCATTCATGGATGTATCGATTCACGCAGCGCCCACCCCCCGAGCTCCACGCGTATCGCATTGTCGCTTCGATACGAATCCACGCTGGCTCTCGTGTTCAAACATTCCTCCCTTCTCCCTTGTTTAACATCCGGGCGATGATTCGCAAGTCCCAGCAGCACTTCCATTCTTCCGGGATTTTTGTTAGAGCTGAGGATATTTCCCGAAGTCCTCTTTACAAGTAGTTGTAACGTATCTTTCATTGTCTTTCAGAATGAGGTAGGTTTTGAAATAATAAAAATTACGACTACTCGCGTGGAGTGTTACGTAGGTTTCAATCACGTTTGATTGTCGAGATATGTAAAAATTTCAGTCAAAGTTCAAATTGAGGATCTGTAATTGAATGGTTAAAGTGATTTCGCGAAATGTAATTGGGCTTTTTTCCTAGTTATTAGCCTAGAATAGGCAGAGGTCATGGAATGCGATATGATCTTGGGCATTATTCCTCCTACTTCTAATAATCATCGGAAGTCACCCCCCCGTCTCCCTTGCGAAATTAAAGAGGAAAGGAGCTGAAGCGAACCTTGATACTTGAACGGGAAGCTCGTCACCACTTTCCAGTCACGTATCATGATAAATGGAGGAAGTGAAATGAGTTTTTCCTCTTGCTTCACCGATCCTCATTGGCCATTTGAGAGCGACTCGGCTGCTATCTGTCGGCCGAGATGTAAAACGAAATTTGGGAATAGCACGTCTTAAAAGCACTAGATAGAAATGTGAGATTTTGTTGGCAATATGATGACTCGAGCTTTTGTCGACATGATTCATGAAAACTGGATCAGTAATAGAATTCCAATTTTAAAATGGCTAAATATGACTATTTAGAGGATGCTTAATTGTATTAATTTATTAATAATTCATTTGACAGATGGCGATCCCTGAAATCTAGAATGACCATCGAATAGCCTCGCATGATATTCGAAACCCATCAGCGACTTTGATGAGAATAAATATTAGTATACTGCCTTGTAGGTTTCACTTTGCAAAAGCGTGTTGAAGAAAGCCTCGACGTTTAGCTGTGTAACATTGTTGTTGCCTTCCACTCTGTGCGGCGAAATGGAGTAGAAAGGGGACCAGAGTTATTTGCATTCAAGTCTCAGACTTTCTGCAAAGCATCACAATTTTTATTTTTTGCTCATAGTCTCTCCTTAAGGGAGGAAATTCCACCTGAAGCGCTAACAGGGCCCCTGTGCATGTGAAAATGGGGTACCTAAGCTGGAATTGATGGTGAGGGGGTGCTTGTCTCCTTGGTAGATCCTGCGGGATGCGGAGACGCTGTCGGTTCGAATGAAGCACAGGGGTGCTTGTTCGTGTGACAATGACACCGGCGACGGTGCCGGGGTCGTCACCGCCATTCCTCATCAACTCTACTTCAACGCACACTTTTTCTGCCAATCGCATTTCATAGTGCGAACTCAAAATTTTGATTAGATCAGGAATTGGCTTTATTGGAGAAAAAATAAAATGGCCGAATTCGTACGATCACCTTGAATTCGATGGACCGATCGCCATCCGAAAACTCAGATTTCCCATGCCGCGACGTCGAATTTTGTGCATGGATTTTTGACGGAGTCTGATGTAGAACTGAACTCTCTACGGTATTATTTGCCGGAATTGATCAAAACATCATGATCTGTGAGAATGGTCCACCGATCACTTGCAAGTGTCAGATTGCTCGTTGACATCCTGACATCCTCTTGTGTTTAGTGCATAGTCAATCCTGGAACATCATATTGGCCGAAATTCTAGGGAGTATCTCACTCAAAATGAGCCAACTTTGGTTATGCTTGACTTCACCGTAGAAAGTCGTTGAAGAAAATAAAAACTATTCCCCTATTTCAAATATGGTCCTTTATAACCCACTCCAGTAGCTGAATGTATCAATACCGGATTTTCCAGCCTACAAAATTTCTAGGTGCGCATCTAAGTTTGCGATTGACAGAGAAAGTGCGATTTTAAAATAAATAAATAAAAAGTAATACTACATTGAAAGAAGGCTCGTTGCTGGATGCTGTACTCGAAACATTCAAGTTGGTGTGGTCTGAATGAGAGAATACAGTAGTATGGACCGAAGTAAAATTCCGGATAAGAACCACAACCGAATAAGAAATAAAATAATATTGGGAAACGAGAATTTACGCTTGTGAAGGGGTATGCGAACTTACCGGGAAAGGGGGGGAGGGGGAGGGGTAAATACTACTTATTTCTTACGTCTGCTCTGAATGCGTTTTCTTTCAGCTTGCAGGAGTGGACAAACTCTCCAAGTAACCCAGCAAATAGACCAAATGAATGAGTTTCATTAGAACTTCTCTTTATGAGTTTTTTTTTTAAATTGCTTTTGCAAGGATTCAATGATATGGCCTTTGAAGACAGTTTGTCCAGAGATAGGAAAGGGAATTTAGATACAGAAGGGAAGTGGATGGAGGCTTCTGTTGAAAGTTTGCGTGCCTGTGGTTATCTAAAGGAACCTCATGACATATTCATGGCCACTTCGCCGCTCTCTTCTGCACGTCATCTTTTCTCTCCGAGTCTTTCCCGTAGAACCTTAACCACTTTGAAAGATGAGGAATTAATGGCGACTTTAGAGCTCATCACGGCCTCTCATACACTTATCCCATCCACGACAACCTCCTAATGTCCCTCCCAGTTGCTGGAATTTGCTGCATGTTACATAGACGCGCATTTGAGGAGAAGTTGCACCACTCGACATTCGAAGATCACTGAAACAAAACGTACCAAATTGGTCCAGAAAAATTATTTGGTTTCACGCAGCCTAGATCATTTGTTTACTGCCAAATGGGTCTCCGAACGATTGGGTACTAAGTCGCTCTGGTACATACGAGTACATCCGAATGCGCCTTTTATCACCTTCGCCGCTACCACGAAATTGATGGTGATTCATTTCAAATGTTGAGTGGTGTTATTGCATTTTAACGAATGTATTTAGGAAGGAGACGGGAGTGGAGTTACCACCGAAGGGGAAATATGCGACTGGCATCTTCTTCATGGATCAGGAAACCAGCTCCGAAAGCGAAAAGATGTTTGAGACTATCGCCGCCGAAAATAATCTTCAGGTTGGTCTCATTCGTTCCTACGTTTTAAAACCGCATTTCATTCAGCTCATCGGAAATTCATTTGTCAATTCTCCGAGTACTTAGGCTCTTTGCCTCTCTTCTCCATTTCTTCATTCATCAAGCAGCGCAAAAGTAGTTTGATAATTCCAGCCTTTATACTGGATATTGTCAAGATAGAGTTGATGCACCTTTCGATGCCTGAACATTTTTTGCGTTCTTTCTTTCTTCTCATCGTGATGGATTAGGTGGTGGGATGGCGGACGGTGCCGAAGAACTCGGAGGCGATAGGAAAGATAGCGCGAAGTGTAGAACCGTGGATCCGTCAAATCTTCCTCACTGTCAGCCCCACCCCTTCCTCTGTCGTCGATGACTTCCCACGCCAGGCAAGCCATCTTTTTCTTCTTTCTTAAGAGGTCCGATCCCATCATCAAATTCCGATCCAGAGGAGATTAAATGGAGGGAGCCCGAAGTGATGAGAGTGGAATATCGATAGGAGAGAGCACTTCCCCCAACAGCGAGACGAGCGTCGAGGATGCGAACCCTTCTTATTCCATACTTGGATCATAATAGGGAATCAGCACTTTCGCGCATAGGCCTATTGTTTTATGTATATATTGATACTTGCGTGTTTCTTGCAAGACCAGCCCGATGACAATTGATCTGGTCTCTGAGGAATATGATCTGGGTATTCCACAGTTAGTTATCTAAGTAAGATTTAGACAGTCACATTTGCACGTTTCGGTTATGGTATTTATTTTTATATTAAAATGTTAGCGAAATACTTAATTTTCTCCATCATAAGTACGAGTACATCACCTCCTCACGACCCAATCAGCATGCTTTGTTCCATTGGAATAATCGAGGACAGGGTATGGTTGAGATGATCATTACTCTCCAGATTCTAGGGGCTATAGACGAGGAAAATAGATGAAGATGGATCAGGTAACGGGATCCCTAAGGACTGTCTCCTAGACGATCACATATTGTCATCCATCTCCCCAGGGGGAGGGGATAAGTTGGAGAGAAAAGAAAAGCCTTCCCCGTCATCTCCCTCCTTGATGACCTATCGTCGATGCTGCTCCCTTTTCAATTCGATTACATGCTTCGCTCTCATTATGACTAATCCTGCCTCCGGCAAACTGACTTCCTGTGGTGGCTTTTTAAGAATCACTTCTTCATTTTCATATAAGCATGCGCCAAATCCGAAACTTTGCGGAACACATTTTTGGAAAGCAAGTTCAAACTTTTACCTAAGCGAGTTTCCTCTCTTCTGAGACTTCAGTTCTAATGATAATATTTAAATTTGATGAACACAGTAAAGTTGGCTGAATAACGTCTCGTTGAAATGCAATTTTCAATTCAGTTATTATTTGCGTTTTGAATCAGATTCTACAAGTAAAATTTCAAATGCCATACTTCCCATAAAATAAACTATTGAAACGTTATGTCGATATTGTAATTTTTTTAAAGCATTTTTTTAAAATTGAAAATTGAATACAATATCATTTTGGATTTCAAGTTAGTTTAGTAGGTTGCAAAGCTATTCTGCATCAAACTTCTTTTTAAAGATATGTTAGTAGGATTTTGTTGAGTTCATAGATCGATAGTTCATCCATCCTTCAACTCTATGTGTTGGGGTCGATCCAACAGAATCCCCCTCTTTCATGAAGACTAAATGTACGAGGGATTATTGCGAAGCTGAAATCGATGGCCGCGAATTGCGTACCGCGCGGAGAATGGCTTATGAGAGCAAGGGAACGGCGAGGACGTTGAATCAGATGGATTCCGCCAAGCGAGGGCTTGTCACCAATAGGAGCCTCGAGGTCGATGACGTCGAGTAATGACGCAAGGCATGACGTCAAGTCTTGGCCCCTTTTGCGTCTCAGCCTCTTCTTCTGCATCCCTGCTTTCATATGAATGAATGACTTTACCCGCGCCGTTTTTTGGCGAGGAGGAAACACAAGCCTTCATGATCGATCCTGATTATTAAAAAAAAAAGGATTGGCAAAAAAAATAAGCAATACTCTGATGGCTATTGAATTCTGACCTCTCGCCGATACCCCAAGATCATAGCGGAGCGGTTATTGCAGATTAAATACTCGTTTCATACGCATCGAGGAATGAGGTGAAAAGAGGCAACCCCTTTGCACACTTCAGTACAGGCAGGGAAATGCTTAGATTCGACAGTTATCGAAGAAGTCTGCCTATTTGCATTCATGAGACATTTCAGTGCAATCACAGCGATCTCATGCAGCACTAACAGCGTCTAAGCGGCCCTTGAGACTGATGCAACTGGAAACTGAAAGATTTCTTCAGACTCGAAAGACACGAACAGTAATCGTATCCGGAGAAGCCAGGGAATACGAACTCTTCGAAAGCTCAGAACAGCGCTTTTTCTCTCAGTGAATGCCTGTAGTACCCTTTCTCTAAATGTAAACATTAGTCGCAGTCTTGACTGCGATGTGGTTATTTTAGTTCGGCTTCGAATATGTATAGATGGACCGAGTCCACGTGGCGCCTCGTAGTCCCTAGATCAGGAGTTCCCAAAGTTTTGGGTCATGGGGGCCACATAGCCTGTAGGGTGCGGACTCGCGAGCCGCATAATTAAAAACTTGCTTTTCTGCATGGTAAATATTATGCCAAAAAAAAATTCGTTCTCCTAATTCCGCATGCTGTTTAGCCGGAGTGGGCCTCATTTTTCTTGCCTCTCATCATCTAGCGACAGTGGAAATGGAAACTAAAGGAGAGATAGGAGTTTTTGACGTGATTCTGAACCAAATCCACGCTGTCGCTTGGTATGGAGCCACGGCTCGACTTATAATCCCAGTCATCGTGGAATGAACCAGTTTCGACGACATTGTCCCTGCTTGTTGTTCCTTTGAGAGACGGGTGACGTACAAGCCCTACGGATGAAGCTGGTGTGATTAAGTTCAGGGGTTTGCTCCTATTCTCCCTTCACCCTTCCAGATGTGATTGTAGAAATATTGAATAGATAGGGATGTCAGAAGGTGCCATGAAATGTTATACATTATCTTCATGTGAATCTCCTACTGCGGTATATTTGCGATGTTTTGGCGGCCATTGGGAGGAATCTGACCGTATGAATTTATCAGAGATATTTGTCCGTGAAAAAAAATGCAATAGGCTCTTTGGATTGATGCATGCAACGCATATTTTCAGCAGAATTTGGCAGCCCTGCGGATTCTCTCGCCCTCACAGATGGCGCCTGGATGTCAAGTCGAGTTAAACGCCCTATGGTTAACCCTTAAACGACCAAACTAGTTAAAATTTGACCCAGAGCCTTTGTTACAACACGCGAAACTTCGAGGCTTGGTAGTTTAAGAGTTAATGCAAGTGTCAGGATGATTCCATTTCCGAGAATTTTGGCTAGGAATCGACTGTACTTACCCGCGAGTGAATTTAAACCCTGTCAGGGTATACTTCGTTCATTCCGCAGCACATAAAATAATTCATTCATTATCATAATCATAAGCATTAAATTTTTTCTCCAAAACTCCTCGTGGGCTGCACAAAAGCCCTTTGCAGGGTGCACTTTGAGCACTCCTGTCTATATAAATCCAATACACTGCAAATGGAAGCCCTTTCAGGTGCTAGTTGAATCTGAAAATGACTCTTGTCTTCGAGCCTAGTTCGATGTCGATCGGGAGAGGAGACTTGCGCGTAGTTGTGGTGACTTATCACGAATTCCCATCCGACCTTTGTAAAGAAAAAGCATGAATACCTCCCAAGCTTTCCTTACAGGTTTCTTCCTGCGGCAATTGCCCTACGCAGCAGAATGTCAGGATTCATGCTTCCATAGGTGGGTCGTAGTGCGAGAGAAAAAACAAGCTCCTCTCTCCCTTTCACCTCCCCCTTTGCAAAGAATGAGGAGATGGGAGTATATTTATGCACGGAGTTGCGCAACTTTTTCCGATAAAAGCTTTTCAATCCTTCCTCGAGAGCTCTGAAGGTTCAAAAGTACATGACTGAGATTGGGAAACACTCCTTTGTTTCTGCGTTTCAGCAGCACTTGATGATGATGAACAGTTGATTTTTAAAATTTACTTACCAAATCAATGTAGAAAAAAAATTGTTGTGTGACTCGTGTGACTTGTGACTCACGTTACAAAAGTTCAGATACGAGATATTGCACTGATGCAGTTTGTGGTCCGAGTCTTATTGTGATGCATTGGACTCCTGTATAGCTGTGAGGTATCAGCAGCATTTCCCAGTGAAAGCAGAGTAGTGACAAATGAAATGGCAATTTTTGTGATGCATGTTACACGTGAAAACCCATTCATATTCAAGACGTTACAGAAGATTCGTTTGCATTTGTAACTGAGGATAAGACGACTCTGACAGATTTTCCTTTTCATTTTCAAATAGTTTCCCGGCATTTCCGGCAAAGGCATTCCATTCTCCGATGACTGTCTTTGACGTTTACCATCACTGGATTTTAACCTCTGGCTGACTCCCAGTTGCTTGAAGAGGATATGCTGTTGGTGTTTTTTGAAGGTGTTTGTGACGAGGAAGCAGGCGACCCATCGCATTCCTCGGCCGGGATCTCGGTTCTACATCTGTTCCCTCTCCGCCTCCACCATCGTTTACAAGGGACAGTTTTCCCCCGATCAACTCTGGACTTACTATCCCGACCTCCAGGTATCACTATGGTCTCCCGCCCTTCTGCATGTCTTTTACGGTGGCTCTTAAACGTTTAATCGTTTGCAATCCAATGAATTTCACTCAATTTCTTTCTGGCTTTTCTTCAGTGAGTCAATCCTAATCAGCATCGAATTGGTTGTAAATTTTGAGATTCGTTCGCTTTTAAAGTCATACCTTGCGCCATAAATGATAAAATTCCGTTTCTTTGTTCTTTACTTTCTATACTTTTGCAATTTAATTTCCGAGTTGAACTCTTCTTTTCCATTTTAGTTCTTATTTTTTCATTTCCCTTGAAATTTCGTAAGGATTTGGCCTTTTTTTGGGCAGAATCCAGAGTTCGAGACGTATTTGGCACTAGTGCACACCCGGTTCTCCACGAACACCTTCCCCTCCTGGGAGAGGGCTCATCCCTACAGGTCTGTTGCAGGAAGTCAAATAGATGTGGGCATTTTCTTTGTCAATAACCCAAATATCCATAATCTCGAGCATATTTATTTAATGTAGGAATTTTGCAGAAGCGTTTGCAAAAGTTGGTGTTTGTTTCCAAGGCAACACCAAGAGCTTTTCGCTTTTTCTGCACAATCGTTTGTGAGATGCGGTGATTTCGAGACTGTCAGCGGTGAAAAAAAAGTCTCCCTCTATGGAAGACGTATGCACGGTATTGGTTGGCTTACATGAGAATTTCATGAAGAAAGAAGGGATGCTGAAAACGGATTCTCGGGATCTAAGTCAACTTTCTATCTCATAGGCTTTCAATCTTTTTTAGCTCCCCCCCTCCATCCTTTGACATCGACCCACCCTTATTCTCTTAGGACACAGCTTAAAACTACGATCAGTAGAGGAAACCAAAGCAACTGGCTGGATAAGAACATGAAATTCACAGACATTTACATGGGATGCCTCAAGCTGCAACGAAAAAAAAAAATACAGTAATAGGAGTGATTTCTGCAAAGTAAAAAGAAAAATTCAGGAAACCTGGGGAAAGGCTCTAGCCGTTGACTAGTTGTCTGCCCCGGCCTGCGCGCCGTCTATGATAGTCTCGCAACTAGGAAAAGGAGCGTGAATACGATGAAGGCTCGAGAAGAATAGGACCTGAAAGTCTCTTAATCCTTTTTTTTTTTATAGGCTCCTGGCTCACAATGGGGAAATCAACACGTTGAGAGGGAACGTGAATTTGATGAAGGCTCGAGAGGGAACGATGAAGAGTGACCTCTATGGGAGCAAGTTGAAGTCTCTCTATCCTGTCGTGGAACCCGATCTATCGGATTCGGGTTCTGCGGATTGTGTCCTCGAATGGCTTGTCATGGTCGGACAGCGCACTTTACCCGAGGTTTCTCCTCCTCTCTTTCTGTCTCTCTCGTCCATTACTATTGCTTGCTAAAGAAATATTGCTAAATTTATTAATGGCCCTAGAGATTTTATGATTACCTCGTGAATCTCGCTTATAAAACGTTATGGGTTTTCAATTCAACATGTACCGCATACCTTCGTGTTCATTGTCAGTATTGGGTAGTATGCAACACGGATTGATTGCAACACAAATTGATTGCATTCATTTTCACGACGAGTTCCATGAATAAAACACCAATTCAGTGATGGACCCAGTTATGAATTGATATAATTTCATGTTAAATCGATCCAGTACATGTTGCCCATTACTTTTATGACGAAGGGCTGCAACTATATCAGTTGGTTACCGGCGTTTTCGTCGCGGCCAAAAAGGCCGTGGACAGAAGTCGCATGCACTTTTGATCGTAGCACTATTTCGTCGCAGGCTAAGATAGTCGCATGAGGGAAAGGAGTGAAAGCAAGGTGAACAAAATGGTAGACAATCATCATGGGTTCCTCATGGGTATCAGCTGGGGAAGAGAAGGGGAGGCAAAAACATCTAAAAGGAAAGAAAAGCTTGAGTGAGAAGGGTATCTTTATACTGTAGAGAGGTGAAGTTTCGATAATACCGGTTGGCCCAAAAAAAAGTCCCGGAATATACACGTCTGCAGACAGAATACCTTATGAGTTATCGACAGGAAATTTACAGGGTTTTACGCGCAATATTTGCAGGTAATGTCTCAAAATTTTCAATTAAATTGGCTCTTAACTACGTGAGTAACATATTTTCTCCCGCACGATGTCAAAAGGGCGAGTGTGCAAAGAAATGCGAATGACCTCACTGAAGGAAATGTTTGATGGGTCCTCCATTGATGTGTCCTCCGGAGACCGCCCGCTGATGCAGCACTCAGGACAAACGCACGACACTATCTCATCTGACAACTCGTACGGAAAGAGCTCTTACTCACGTTCAGAGCAGGAAATTTCATTGAAAATTTCCAGAAACCACCTACACGTATTGGATATGGCTCAATAAAAATTTCAAGACGATATTTAATCTGGTGTCCCGTCTGCAGACGCATAAAGTTCGGTACTTTTTTTTGGGCCACCCGGTATAGCATGGCTATGTGAGCTGCGAAGCTGTAAGGGTAAGATCCACACGAGAAATGACGGAGCGGCTAAGTCCAACCACAATCATGCTATCAGTCCTGATCGTGTCCAAGTGGCAAATGCAGTTGGGGAATTGAAAGCCGCTTCTTAAAATTCTCAGGAACCCTCGCGTAGACTTGTGCAAGCTGCAACTGCTCCCAGCCCTTGTTATGCTCTCCTGACATAGAGAGTGCGACGATCGGTGTCTGCGACGAAATAGTGCAACGACCAAAAGTGTATGCGACGTTTTGTCCACGACGAAACCACGACGTTTTGTCCGCGACGTCCAGTCACGATATCAGTTTTTTGCCAGTATCCGATGTGCCGATATTTTCTGGATGGAAAGTCACTAACCGATATTCGAAATCGATATGCTTAATCCTAAAATATCATAATTCCAAAAAAATCCAATTTTTTAAATCATAGAATAACCATAGTGTCTAGGCCTGCAGTTTAAACAGGTTTTGCCTTGTATGTTTTATGTACACCGCAACCAAACAGGCTACACTACATCCCACCTTTCATCTCCCTTCATGGTGAATCATGCGCCTAAAGAGACCTTCCCCCTGCACACCTGCATATTGCATTCCCTTTCCTTCATCTTGGATTCCTTTAGAGCAGAAGTGAAGGAATTCCAGAACGATGGGTGTGGGAGTCAGGCTTTCATGAGTGTTCCCTTTCTGCCCATAGGACACTGTTGCATGCACGTTCCCATGCGTCAGGGTTCCCCCCTGCGTCGCATCGTAATCATCGTAATCACATCGTAATTTATTTTTTTAAAATATAATCTGTCATCCGTAGGTCGTAGGCCTATGCGAATATTTCTAGCAAACTAGAGTAATTCTTTCTTCCGCTCCGGCTGCTCCAGAATGCTTTCAACTTGCTGAAAGATTTACGTGTACTTGCGGTTTTTGCGCTCCTGATCGATTCAGAGGTCCCTATCCGTATCGATTATAATCCTTATCGATTCGTGGATGGGGTTCCGATCCCTCCCTTCCCACCCTAGAAGTCTCACTCCCGCATTTAGGAGGGCAACGGGACTCCACGCTTCTGCGAATACACGCAGACGTGTGGTTCCACTGGAGCCGATCATGCCATAATGAAGGGAGTGGACTACAGTACGGAGTGTGTGAACAGGAAAGGCCTGTCCAGCAAGACGTGCCCTTGAAGCCCTTGCAATCCCAAAGTGAATGAGAGAATCAATGGATAAAGTAGCTACATATCGGCAGGCGTCATCTTGAGGAGCTCCGATTAGCGCTTCCAGCTGTCTTATTTACGTCGGCATATCATGGACAGATGCATCGTAGGCATGCGGAAAGATGAGAGCGTGCCGTGTGCAAGATCAATCGATAAGTGAGAGGAAAAAGGAAGAAAGGGGACCAATGCTAGTACTTCACTGACGCACTCATTCCTCCGCACTTCCTTTCTCAAGGCTGGGTATGCATGATATTGCTGAGTTGTGCGCAAGACATAAATACCTAACAGGTTAAGGCCTGGCATCGCATTAGGCCTTCATGCCGTCATTGCATTTCCTCTTTCCATAACTCGTATCAGCTCCCCACCTCACGTGAAAAAAATAAAATAATAATAAAATATCGAATGTCGACTGCACGTTGATTGTCGATGAATGATTCTATCCGATATCACTGATATCGGCTGACGATATTGACAACAGGAGCAAGTGCAGGCAGAGGGACAGGATAAGTGCAAGTGTGCTTCAATAAACATAACATCCCAACATTTGAGAAAGTAAAGCACTATAATTTGGGTAAGGAATTATATGTGAAGTGGATTTGTAAGAAAAGTCACGAAAGCTCGAAGATCACAAGCTAACATCTCGACTCAAGTTGGTAACCCCTGAAATACCTGAAACAAAATGGCATATGTGATGCCAAATACGCTTGTTAACTACGTCGTATTTTAACGTATTGATTTACGTATTGATGTGGTAGGCGGTGATGACGATGGTGCCGGAGGCGTACCAGCGAGACAATCTGATGCCGGAGGAAAAGAAGGAATTCTATCGGTGGTCAGAATGCACCATGGAACCCTGGGATGGACCCGCCCTCCTCACTTTTACCGACGGCCGATACATCGGCGCTATCCTCGATCGGTCCGTCTGCCTTTGTCTCTCCCTCTCCCTACTCCACCTTTTCCTACAATCAACTTTTCTTTCAAACTTACACTCCTGAAATGTGTTTTTTTTTTATATTACCTCTTCCCATGCTTTTTTTTCCATGTTCATTATTTGTCACATCTAAAGTAGTACAGATGAGGTGTTTTTTAAATTAAAATTTTCAACTCCTTGAATTATTTTACTTTAATATATATTTTTAAGATATAATATTTTATTCATTTTCTAACTACTTTATTTATTTTTTATAATGATATACATCTTACATTTGCATTTTCTGCAATATTTCGCGCGCAATATTTATTTCTAAGGCAATTATCTCTTCTCTAAAAGCTACAGTCCAACCTGAGCCTGGAGGTGGTCAATATCGGTGACGTCGAGGTAGATATGCCCATGATACCGTCCTTTTGGCCCAGTCTAAGCTATAGATTTGGAGCGTGCTGGATCGGTTCAACTTTGAATCATTGCAGCTGGAATGAAATTCCTTGTCCAGAAAACCTAAGTAATGCTTCTCTCGAGAAATCCTGCACAGTACGCTCTACGCATCAGGTGGGCCCCTATAGAACAGGTGAAGAATTTTAAATACATAGTACCTCAGAATTTAGTTCTCGAGTGTTGGACCATATGGATACAAGATCGACAATTGCATCTCCAGGGCCTCAGCAATTTGCTACAACTTTTATGGGCCGTGGTTGCCGAATTGGATATTTCAAAGGCGGAACTCGCGGTATTTATGAGCGTTTATCTCTCCATTATCAGCTATGACCATGAACTTTAGATAATGACAGAATCGGATCGTAGGTTCGTGGGTCACTCCGGATTTTTCAGAAGTTTCTTGGAGGAATCTAAAAACTCAAGCCCTCTCATTGATTTAATGGAAATCTAAGTTGCTTTTGTACGTTTCGTTTTGTTTCGTTGACACTTTGAGTGGAAGAAGGTAGTTTGATCTAATGAGCAACGATTCTCCCCAAGCAAACCCGATGCACCATCACATTCATGCCAGCATTTTTCATAACTGGAAAAGAGCCTCCTCAGCTTATGCTTGTTTGAGTGAGAGTTAAGGTTGTCGATACCATGTCCTTTCATGAGTAACGGTGTTCAAATGGTACCGCTTCTTCCAGAGAGGAAAGAAATTACTAAGGACGAGCTGGGTGGGTGGCCTCTGGCAGCTACGACTCAATAAAAAAAAATTGAATCGTTCATGTAACTGTTTAAAATAAAAAAAAATTAACTTCAAAGAAGAACCCCATGGAATGATCCCATGATCGGGTACCCAATGTCAATGTTTGGTTGAGTAACTGCTGTCAGAAGGCCCCGAGATTGGGGCTTGTCGTTCAAATCACCTTTCCCTCTATCGAAGAGGCGGTATCAGTTGAACACCATTGCACCTGAAAGTGACTTGATCCTTTAAAAAAAGGAACGTTTTATCAATGCAATCGCTGGGGAGGAGGCTTTCTTACAGTTCTAACAAAGGTCAGTTCAGGTTCGGAAAAAATAGTTTCTCATGAGGTATCCCTACCTGCTTCCATTCGTGGTGCTACAGTGTCATTAAATGTCAACAGAAACAGACGTAACTTGCATAAGCAACTTAGAAGTACATGCAAAAATGAGTAGGCTTTAACTCCTTTATCATTTTTAGGCGCAAAGTCTTAAAGCTTTCTGGGTGACCCACGTTCAAGCTGCCAAAATGAAGACCTCTTCAGACCCGACAACAAGTTTATATGTCAAACCGCTTTCATCTCCATGGGATAGTTTAGTGGCCAAAATAGTAGCCTTGCACTTGTACATTATATCTTTTGCGGGATGCAACTCGTAGTGATAGAGAAAATGTATGAAAGAAATGACTCTCCCCACTCCATTCGTACGATGGAGAATGCGCCCAGTTATTGTAAGTATACTGACCCAAGGGTCTGAAGAGGTTAAGTAGGGTGACCGGTGTTTCGCGCCATAAGATGCAGAGTGCTGCTATTCCTGGAAGCCACAAGGCCGAGCAACTACTCCGGATGGAGAGGTCCCAAGTTCAGTGATTTCGACATGTACGCCAAATGTCCCCCGAGAGATCCCCAAAAAGGGTCTCTCGGTCCAGGAAAGAAGGCCAGTCGGTAGACCACATAAAGGTGGAACGACAATGTTTCTTTGTTGCGAGAGGCTTGGCATCCCACATGCCGAGCTTGAGCACGTTACCCAGGATCGAGAACATTGAAGGACGATCCTGGACTTGCTTTCACTCGAGAACCTCATTAATATCGGATTGACTTCCCTAAAAATGAATGTATAAATGATGAATGAACATCCAAGTTCTCTTTGTTTTAGTGGTGAGTCTAGGAAAATCATATAAGCAGTGCGTAATCAGGGGGCGCTTGAAGTACGTAATGAAATTCTCAGGACAATAAAAAATTTTTCAAGAAATTTTGTTAAATGTTCCTTCAGCCTATTCCTAGATGAATAATTTGGATCTCTGTGTCTCCTTTCATCCGGAGCAGGAATGGATTGCGACCGTCTCGGTTCTACCTAACTTCTGATAACGTAATGGTGATGGCTTCAGAAGTCGGCGTCTACCAAGTGCCCCACCACAAAATCCTTCAAAAGGTAATTGTGTAGCGTCTCTCCACCTTTCATCTAGCCTTCATGAACGTACATGATCATCCTTCATGACCATGGCGGTAGTTTTATTAGATTTCAATGCGGGTGCAGCTCTTCCTAAATTCTCTTTTGCATGTGTCTGCCTTACTGGTGTGGGGTGTTCCATTCCAAAGAAGGGTGTTTTTACAGGGGAGGCTGGAGCCTGGGCGAATGCTCCTGGTGGACACGGAGAAGAAGGTTGTCATCAACGACCAGGAACTCAAGCTCCAGATTGCTTATGGTTATCCTCTCAAGGCCTGGCTCAAGAATCTTGTACGTTCGCATTCACTATCAAATTAACGCCTGAAGTATAGTTCTATGGGCGCATCCAAAGCATGTCTGCTCCCAAGATCTTTAGAGTCTTTCTGAATCCGTACCTCTGCGTTGGAGGTTACTAACTTTAGCATGACAAAGAGCCACGGATGTAGCTCTTGGACAAACCGAAGGGCCGCCGGTATCTCATAAATAGGCCTATTCAAACCTGCATCCATAGTTTTCGACAGTCGTTGCCGAGAAGCAGTGTAGAAGCAGAGATGTAATCTGAGGTAGCACATCTTAAATTCCATCCATCTTTAGTTCGAGTATCTGAGTATATTTCGTCAAAGAGTGTTAGAAGAATTTATCTGAAACTTTCTATTTTTCTATTTGATATCTCCTTCAAAACACGAGAAGTGTGAAATACGAAATTAGAAATCTAATGGCTCAAAGATAGGGCAGGAACTGACCATCGGTAATGCTCCTTCCTCGGTCTCATGTTGAAATAATTATTAAAATTCTCAGTATCACGGGTATGAATAAAAGACGACTCCCTGAAAGGTTGATTTGAAATTTGCTTCAATCCATTCCCCTAGAGCGAGCTTGAAAGGACGAATCACGCGTTATTTTTATCAGGTGGACACTGCGTAGGCGAGTCTATTCCCAAGGGAAAATATCGTTTTATATTCTGACCTACTCGGCGGATTACTTATCTGGAGATGACATCATGGTTGATGAATACAGGGAGATGAGTTTCCCATCTCATATTATATCTAAAATCCAGGTGAAGATGTTGCAAACTGGGTCCCCTGTGACAACACGTGTGAGGGTTAATTAACTATACAATTTATGCTGATGGCCTCGTTTTTGCGCTTTGCTCATGATGGAAGTAGGCTGTGACAAGTTTGCACTTTTGTTATTGGTATGAAAATTTTCCAAGATTTTTGCTGCCTGGCAGTTTACATAAACGTAAATAAAATGGAAATGTCCATCATGTGACACGATTCCATTGTTGAACCATAGGGCGTGTGCTAGCAAAAAAGCTAGCAGCTCAGCTAGTTCTGCTAAGGCCCCCAGCATCCGATGACGTAATTTTAAGGTTTAGCTGCTCAACGTTCTCATAGTTCGCTATGTTCCGCTCGCAACTGCTTGCCCAATAGTGACGCCATTCAATGACGTGGTCGTACCTAGCCAACGCGTCTTTTTCGCCAGCAGCTGCTAGCGGCTGGCGAAAAGGATGCGCCCATTGTAACTGGGCTGTTGGTATGTGTTGATGATGAAAAAATGTGATTATGGTGCTGAAGCATTTATCTTTGTGCACACCGACAGGTGACACTTGGCGACCTGTACAAGGTGGACGAGAAACCGGCAGAGGAGCTGGAGGTGAATCATCTGGGGATCGGGTTTCATGGATTGGGCGCCTTGGGCGACCCTCGACGTTGGCTCACCCCCAATGGCAAGGACCGAAGACTTGCCTTGTTCGGCTACACCATCGAGACCATAAATATGCTCCTTGTTCCCATGGTTCTGACCAAGTACGTGCTCTCAGTTACAGCGTCCTCTCTTTATTTTCAAAGGGAAGACTTTTTAAAAAGACGAAGGGGCATTTGTTCCCTCATCCTCTGACACCCGTATCTGTCACCATTATCACTAGTGACTTTTTTGGTTCAACTAGGAAGGAGGCATTGGGATCGATGGGGAACGATGCACCGCTGGCGTGTCTCTCGGAGTACCAGCCTCTCTTGTACGACTACTTCAAGCAATTGTTTGCCCAGGTCACCAACCCCCCAATTGATCCATTTCGAGAGCAAATTGTCATGTCTCTCGGTTGCCCCATCGGACCCTCTGCCAACATTCTCAAACCCTCCGATGATCAGTGCAAACGTCTCTTCCTCAAAAATCCCATCCTCTCCATCAAGGACCTCGAGGTCATCAAGAGGACGAAGGTCCACGGTTGGAAGGTAAGCCTATCTCAGTTACTCCCAGCAGAAGCGTGAAAGGGATATGACGCCGTGGTTAGCAGTTTTGATGCTATACGATGGGGAGAACTCTGTATATCTCATTGCTTTGGCATGAGTGCCACCGCATAAGAGGAAACTTATTTTCAATTTCCGTCTTCAAAAAAAGATTGGATTTTAGTGGAGTCGAAGTACTGAAACGTGCGAGATATATCTTTACATTAGATGCGCAGAATGAGATGATGGTGGGGAAAATGGTGTCCAAGTTGTCACTTAAGGCCGATGCACACTGACTGCGAAGAGCTGTGGCAAAGCCGCACTGCGACCGCCTACGTAGCATCTCCCACACTGGTCGCAGAGCTCCCAAGCGAAATCCAACATGGATGTATGCAATTTGAAACCTCGTGCGACAACACTTTGGCTTTTTTACGGCTCCAGGGGGAAAAGCTTTTAACACTGGTTGGTACCGATATCCCGGCATTAGATGGGAGAATTCGCGACTGGAGTAGAAAACATCACCGAAGGCAAGGAGTGTTTTTCTCCCACGTCCATGAGAATGTCTCCTTAGCTGTTTAAGACTCTTCGTGGTTTGCTGGAGGAGAGGGCAGGACACAAACTTCAGACCATGTAATTCCCCAGCGCAAATGGTGGCAATGAGGCTGGGGGGGGGGGGGGGGGGGGGAGGAAGTGGGATTTTTGAGGAAGAGACGTTTGCACTGATCATCGGAGGGTTTGAGAATGTTGGCAGAGGGTCCGATGGGGCAACCGAGAGACATGACAATTTGCTCTCGAAATGGATCAATTGGGGGGGGGGGGGGTGAATGCATACTCGATACAAATATTCCGCATACTTCAAACACGTATAAATCATGCATCACTCTCTTAAATGAGGGTACGACTCAGATTTTTGCACTCGAAGAACAAACTTGAAAAATTAAAATAAAAAATTTAAGAATTGAAACAATGGAAAATAATTGGAATATAATTGATATCGAGACCATTCTAGGAGATTCATCTACCTATCGCTATGTACAGTATCTCGTTCATGGAGAATCACTGGTGATATTTGGCATCATCTACCACCTATGTCATTCCACCAAAAGAGCCGCCAAATTAAGAATCCAAGAATTTCATATCTTGCAATCAATAGCTACGCAGCGTGAACCACTGCGAAGATGTGACAGAAATGACCCGTCCGATTCCGTTGCAAAGCGTACTGCGACCGACTGCGAAGGTTCCACGCATCTCCAATGCGACCGATTGCAACGAGCTGCGACGGTCGCAGTGGACGCAACGCAGCTCTTCGTAGTAAGTGTGCATGGCTCCTAAGGAGGGGAAGGATATCGTGGAAGTAACAAAGACGTAAAGGTAGTAGATGTGATGAGGACTGCGCACGCAGGACAGGATGAAAATTGGGATGGACGTATCAAATATAATTCAAGTTGTAGGAAGTCGCGCATAAAGGAGAGTAGTGTTTTAGGCTAGTGATTCCAGAGAAGTATATACTAGTAATTGCTAGTGGAAGTAGGAATGGAACTGTTTGGCATGAGATGGGAGCAGCAAGTTTTTACGAAAAGTAACGTTCGAACTTCCAGCTGCGGCGTCTCCTGGCGTCTGGTCTGGAGCTGTTGCCTTAGGTCTATATTCGATTATATGCAGAGCATGACGATCGATATGACGTACCCGGTGTCGGAGGGTGGAGACGGGATCCTGGCCACCATCGACCGGGTGTGCAAGGAAGCGTGCGAAGCCGCCAAGTCCGGCTATCAGTTTCTCATCCTCTCTGACCGATCCGTCAGTCCCGAACGGTTGGTTTACACATTATCATCAAATCCGAAGAATAACCACTACTTTTGGTATATTGTACTGTCATGGATCGGCGACATACGTGTGATGCCATATGGAGGAGGAAAAAGATGTGTAGAAGCGGATGCCAGGAGTCGGTAGGGTTGCGGTTGGGACGAATGAGGGGTGACTTGGTTGGCTCTAGTCAGCTTGCTCTCCATGAGGACATCCACAAATTTATCTTATGCAATAAAGTTATTGAACTTTTTTTTTTAAACCAATAGATGCCAATTTTATCATTTGTGTGTGATGGCAGTTCTTGCACACAATGAAATAATATTTGCCACGTTTAACTTTTAACGTTTAACCCTTAAATTATTCCTTTAACCTTTTATCTTGCATGTTTCTTTTTTTAGATAGTCGAAGTCATTGTGAACATACCATTTCTTTGTAAAATTTCAACGTGACAACTTTGACAGTCATTCATCTCTTATAAGTCGGAAAAAGTTGTGGTTGTACAGAGTGCGCGTGGTAAGTCAGCCATTATAAATCACCAATAATGTTATGCTTTGAGTAGTTGTGTTTTCCTGAAGAGATATTATTATAAGATATATTAAGAGATATATATTGAAGGAAATCATATGGAACGCGTTATCTAAACGCCCGGGACAATACACGGACTTTGCTCTGTCAAAGAATGTCAAGGAGGTTTTGTTTTCCAAGAAAGACTGCTTTTGCTATCCCAATGAGCCGCCGCATAAGTCAAACCAATGCATAAGCCATCACTAAGAAGTGATGCCACTGAAGCCAGCCGATATGAACTGCAAACCCGCCCGCTGGCGAGTGCAGGAAACCTCAGTTGTTTTTGGATCGAAAACCTACTCTAAATATGACTTAGGAACGAGTTGAAATGAGTGCGATTTTTCCTGATTGATCCCCATTGGCTTAGGGTACCGGTGAGTGCTCTGCTGTGCTTGGGGGCAACCCATCATTTCTTGATCGAGGCCAGGCAGAGGATGAAGGTTGCGCTCCTCCTCGAGACCGGTGAAGCCAGGTTAGATCATCTCTAAATCCCTTCTCACCCTTAAAAGTGACTGGTTATGCTATTCCAACTTGGTTCTGAATGAGCATATGCCAGCACACAACCCTTACATTCCTTAAAACGCGCTTGCAGGATGTACACAATGCGTGATTGCACAATGTTGATGGTGGATTGCAAGCGTTATTTCTTCAGCTCAGACGTTCAAAATCAAATTGAAGTGGCTCTGCGGAATTAAGTTTCATTTACATTTTTTTTAGTGGTGAAGTCTGGGGAGGACATTAAGAAAGCACTGCTTGTAGTGGAAGTGCAAGCAGATAACGAGACATCGCTGTTGACAGCTTCTCATTGTTTTTTTTTAATGCATACCTTTGTTCCTGTTCCTGGATTGAGGAGGTAGTGAGGCTTGAAGCGAGGAAGGATATACGGGAGATAATGGGATTAGTGTTGTCCTTGGAACACTATAGGCAAGAAACTATAGGAATCGTGTCTGATGTTGATGTCGAATTTAGGGAGAATGAGGAAAAACTGGGTACCCCACTCTTGACTCGATGAGCTCTCCCAACGATCAAGCAGAGCATTTGTAGGAGACGCATGGGGCCCGTTGACCTTATGCGTTGTCCAGTGGTACGCCTTACAGTTGGGTAACCCGCACCTCCGACAGGAGAGCTAACCGCAGCCGTGCTGTCGGAACGCCCGGAGCAGCTGGGCCCATACCACCCGGCTGCCTGGTAATTGGGGCTAACAGTGCCCACGTCGCGGGACTCAGCGCCCTCCCCGATTCTGTTCAATAACAGGCCCGTCGCGTGAGGGCATCAGGGTCGGACGTCTTGGGTGACCAGCCGCTGCCAGCTGCATGACCACAGAGCCGTATGACTCTGTTGCATGAACATTCAGTTGCATGCATGGCCACTCCCTTCTGGGCCCATCCATTTATGATCTACGTACTGCAATATTTACGTATTGAATATGTACGTATTGCGGTACATGGATTAACTTACGGAAACTTACGATGTGCAGGACAATATTCTCCTACTTCAAATCTTTTGGTACATCCTTCACTATCTGTTCGTGCTGCCAGGATTCTATCCTACATATATATTCACAAGAAGAACATAAAAAATAAATTGGGTTAGCTGCCTCAAGGAACTGGTTTTAGTTTTAGCTTGCGATGCTTTCAATTGGTGTTTTCAATACTTTCACTAAATAATAGTCACTCCTATCAACGCCGTACATGCTGTCCAAAGAGACAAGAGAAAGGAAAGTATGAATGAAATGTGGATAAAGACGTGATTGTGCATGGGAATCATTCTATACTTATAGCGTAATGTAGGATTGCGAGAGGTTGCTAGTTGACATCGTAGTAGTAACTGTAGGTTCCAGGCAGAAGAGGAATTTGTAAGGGTATTTCAAAATGGGTCAGCTCAAAACTGCAAACATCCACGTACTAAGATCATGGAGATACTCCACATTTCCTGGAAAACGAAAAATGAGGGAAGTCAGCTCTAAAACGAATAACCGAAGCCACCACGAGGAGGCATTTCTCTTGGTTACTTATTCTTGCTTCCGCATAATTCATTATTTAGGTGAAAAGTGATGAAAATTTCAGACACGCTTTTTCCGCTCTTTAGCCTTCACAGAAGCTGAAAAAGATTCGACCACTCATTTTGATGCACTTTTCTGTGTGATGACCTCAGAGAAGTCATCCGAAAAATCAGCGGTCGGGATTATTGTTTCGGACATCAAAGATGCCAATGCAGCGCCGTAGCGTCGAGGGAACCAGGGGGCACGTGCCCCCCCCCCCCCCCCCCCCCCCCCCCCCCCCCCCCCCCCCAACTGTCGGGGGAACCAGGGGCCCCCCCCCCCCCCCCCCCCCCCCTCCCCCACTTTTCAAGTAAACCAAAAAAGAAGGAAAAGACACATGATAATGCATAACAGTATCCCAGAGTACCCGTGCCCCCTCACGACGTCCCGTGCCCCCTCCCCTTTTTCCATCCCCGCTTCGTATGCCCAGTCAAAAGTTTTTCATCGGGCCATCGATGGCTTCTCGTCGACGCGTATATAAGCCATAGTTGGGCCATCACTGACATATGGTTGCCTTACGGTTGGTTTAAGCCGGCTTATGGTCAGGCATGTCCTGTTGGCTCATCGTTGTTAGGAAACCGCACATATTCCAACCATAAGCCGACTTTTCACAATGGTGAAAAGATGCCAATAGAAAAAAACCGACCAAAGGTGCATCTACTGCAATATGCATCCTCTGCCCTCCTGATCCTTCATCCGTGAGAGAAGAAGGATCAGTACATTCATGGCTCAGGTACACTCCTAACGCCAAGAACTAAGAACATCCCTTGCAATTCTCTTTCCGGATACTCAGGCATCTAATAAATGGATGCGGGAATCGCATTGGAATGCAAGAGTATCTGCTATCACGTAGGAGGACAGGCACGCCTTACTCATATTAAAACTTTCCGATGTCCAGCTAGAGAAAGAGGTTTTTTTTTATTTATTTAAAGAATAGGAGCTAATGGGGGGACTGGCCCTGATGGTGGGTACATCAGGGGTCCCGCCAGTCCCAGTGAAACTCTCCTGCGAGCGGGCTGGCAGGTGCAAGACCCCCTCGAAGCTGATTTAGACAATGGGAATGGTCCCCATTGTCCCGGTCAAAGACCGAGGTTTCTCCCGTCTGTTTTACAGATTACTCATTAGTTAGGACAGTTGAAATAGCAGCCTAGAAAAAGATGAGACCTATTCGTTTAACTNTTGTGCGATAAAAATCGCTTCTGCTACGATGGTTGCAGAGTCGTCTAGGAGTGAGGGAGTTCCTCGGGTCAGCGTGTCTGGGAGAAACGAATCGAGGATTTCGTGAAATTCCACCCAGTCAGCATTTTAAAAGTCGTATGCCTCCCTCACAAAGTTGGAGTGAGAGGGGGCGCGGATGTCGAGCGTGACATGAATTGGGAGGTGATCGCTGCCGAGATCTGCCCCCAGACTAAAAGAGGGGGAGAGGTCGAGCAAAGCGAGGTTCCCAATTGCGAGATCCCGTACGATCATTGTGATAGGCATGGGAGTCGTCATTCAGAATCTGGAAGTTTGAATTGAGGAGGAAGTCACTTATTGCTTCCCCTCTGGTTTGTGTAATCAGGAGGATCTCTGAGATCTGTATGGTGGGCGTTTAGATCTGCAATGAGCAGGTTGGGACCATGGAGATTACTGATAAAATCCAGGTCTTCTAAGGAGGGAGTTGAGTCATGGTGGTAGGGTGGAAAGTAAGCATGCACGAGTTAATGTGCTTCTGTGGAAATCTGACCCGCACAGCTATGACTTCGATGCCATTATTCCACACGTGATCTATGAGGGTGGAATCCAGGGAGGAGTGCATATAAACAGCAGAGCCTCCATGGTATGGTCTTGTTGGAAAAGTTGGCTTATGGCAGTAGAAGTCGCGTGTACAAGGTGCAGATTTCTGTTTCAACTCACTGAGGCATATGACTAAAGGTGTTACTTCGTCTATATAATGAAGGAACTCCGCTCTTTTATTCTTGAATCCTTGCACATTAACATGCAGGATTAATGGAGGTGTGTTTGATGAGACGCCGTCCATTGAGTGAGGAGTGGAATAAGAGCGAGGAGAGGGGCAAGGGCCGTCACAAGGTCATTAACCTGTTTCTGCAAGGAAGAGAATTCCCTGGAGAGGCGTGTGATGTTTACAGGTTGGTGAGTAGACTGGTCTACGGGTAAGGGCGTGTCATTGTTCGTGACTGGCTGTCGTGACTGGCTGACATGCACGGGGATTGAGGATACCAGAGTGCTGTGGGAGTGGCTCTGAAGCAGCAGGATTTGGAGTGTGCTGCTTTGTAACACGCCTAGTGGCCGGTGCTTCTGTTTGAGTAAGAGCAGAAGAGGCAGGCTGCTTTCCTGCATGTTCCGCAGTGATAGGGACAGTTGCAGTTGACAAAGTCCTTGGGCTGATAGGCAGGGTGGGAAGTGCTCTGCATTTCGAGGAGGTGTCTGTCTTGACGATCAAGATGGAACGAGTTCCTTTGCAAATTTTGCATTGCGGAATTGCTCCTGCATAAGTATGCGTTCCAAAGCTGCCCTTCTGTGAGGGCAAGCAGAAGAGTTGGCCTTGTGAGGGCCTTTGCAAAGGGCACAAGTTGGTGTGAGTCCGGCTTTCATCTGTTGACAATCCCTGTAGGAATGTCCAGTCATCCCACAGAAAGAGCATTTTGTGGCTTTTGTGCATGCAGAGGCAAGTTGACCAAACTGCATACATTTGAAGCATTGAATGTTTCTAGGCCTTTGAGAAAAGGCTTCGAGTAAAAATGAATCGTTATCCTCAACCGCCTTTACAAAGAGAAGGGGGAGAGGTTGACCCGTATGAGTTTTTCTCATCCTGATGATGTCTTCCATGAGGGTTATGCCAGATTCTTCGAGTAATTCTTTGACATCTGTTATTTCGGTGTCAAGAGAGACCTTCTTTATGACAAACTTCAAGAGGTTTGTCTTGGTGTGCGGGGCATGGGCAGTGCACATATTGGATGGCAATGTGTCAATGAGTCTTTCGGCATCTTGTTGGTTGGGAACGTCTAAGACGTATCCCGTTCTTTTTTTTTCTTATGCTGGTGATATATCAGGTTGTAAAGGTGAAATTTAGACATTTCGATTTTTTCTAGAAAAATCTGGAAAATGTTAGAACTTTCTATGTAGGTGTATAAATAGAGTGACCAGTGGGCATTGTGGGCGTGAGTGCTTATCGTGAACCTACAACAGATACATTGACGCAAGACTGCACTCTAGTCGTTGTTGAGTTAATTGTCAATAAATTGTTTTCTGGAAAATGTCTAAATTTCACCTTTACACCCTGATATATGCCTTTGAGCACAGAGAGGAGGGTTTGCGGATTGTATAGGATTGCGGAACTTTTCCGGTACCGCCTCTATAAACAAGGGGGTCCGGAAGGGGTCCCGCACTGGTCTCTTGTTCCGTGTAGGATTCTGAGGGGGGCTGGCATTGGTGTTAAGCCTGTGTCTGGAGATGACCTCCGTGAAAGGAGCAGGGTCGTTGTCCTCATTGAGCGGGACTTCAATCGACACGCCCTCCCTAGTCAGGATCGCAGCTGTCTGCGCCGTAGTAACAGGGGAAGGAGTTGTCAAAACAGCTTGTGGATCAGGTGTTTGGGGTCTTGAGGAATCCACAATATTTCTTGACATCGGTGATGCTGCTAAGGGCGATGTCTCTGAGTTAGCTGCTCGATGGTGTTTGGGGTCTTGAGGAATCCACAATATCTATTGACATCGGTGATGTTGCTAAGGGCGATGTCTCTGAGTTAGCTGCTCGAGTTAAAAGAGAGTTTGTTGATCTCTCAGGGGTTGGTGTTCTTGCTTTCCTTGAGGGAGGAGGTGGTGTGCTTTTATTGCGCCTTTTGGCGCGGGAGCGTGTCCCGGTCCCTGGACCCATGAATCAAGGATTGGTTGGAGCGTGAGAAAAGAACGAAGGAAACAGAAAGGGAGAAAAAGAGAAATGAGAAGATCAGCCTTAAAAGCGGTGGTTCCTTGTGGGATTGGGATAATTTGAAGGAAAAAGATCAAAACTTGTCAGAAAGAGTCAGACGAAGAATCAAAAGAGTTGGAAATATGTGAGATGGAATGATGAGGGGATAAGGGGAATACGATGAGTGAAGGGAGGGATACTGTATTGAGTGAAATGAGAGTTTATGAGAGGAATGCAGGAGAACCAGAGAGGGCAAGAGGGAAGACTAAATTATAGCGTTAGAATATAGAGAATGAGAGAAGGCAGAGACGACTTAACAAGGGGGAGAATGGAAAAGTAGTGAAGTCAGACTCAAGAGGGGAGTGAGACTGAAGCGTGGGAAAGAAAGGGGTGAGCGAGTTGAGGGGGAGGGAGGGATCAAGAGTGTGGAGAGTAGTTGAATGGAGGTGGAAGAATCAGAAAGAAGTCGCGAGTAGGAAAGGTGAGTTACTCTAACCGGAGACACACCGGAGTAGGTGTTAGGAAAGCCTTGAAAAAGGCTCTTCTAGTTGCCGGGGACTTTGCCCCCGGGAGTTGGTGGAATGAGAAGGCAGTGGACTCATTGCGAGCTGCTGCCAAACCTCGAGAAAGAGGGTTGCGTAGTCTATGGTGGAAAGTAGATGGTTCCTCCCACAGACCTCCGGGACCTGAATTTTCTGGCTTATTCCAGGGCTAGGTTACATCTTCAGAGAAATGTTTCAAGGAATTCAATTGTCATCCTCTGAGATCTATGTGAGAAACCATAGGAAACTGTGCCAATGGGGCAGGGGACTCACTTTAGTAGAATCCGGGAAATGACTCCCTACTACGACCACTTTGGCTCCATCTCACGCCGGTTTTCGGAACCTTCTCAACCACATTGGCTGAGAAGGTTCCGAAAACCGCCGGCGAATGGATTGGCCGGCCAACTCATCATCATCATCATGGGCCCATCTATGGCCCAACAAGCCAACAAAAATTTTTGACTGGGTGCCAATGAAGCGAAAGAATGAAAAAATATATTCTTCAGATGAACGCGCTCATGCATCTGCAAGATTTATCAAGTTGTTTAAAATGAGTTTAAAATGATAACTTGCTTGAACCAGGTACAGAGGCGAAAAACCATGAAAGCAAAACTTTCCATCCGATTCTGTCATACCTGTACGAAAGGTTTCATCGAAACCTCTTCTTATGAAGGAAACTCCAGGAATGATTCCTGAAGCGAAAGGATCTGTCAATGGTCAATTTGTCGATTTGCCGTAGGGAGGTGCATCACATGTGCGTGTTGATCGGCTACGGATGCGATGCCATCTGTCCATATCTCGTCCTCGAGACCATGTTCCAGCTGAGGAAGGAAGGGGTCATCGATCGATACCTGAAGGACTTCGACGTTTTCGGGGTTTGTGTGTCTCCTGGACTACTTACCCTGAGCCCTGGCTCTCTTTCTTTTGACATTTGATGGATGTTACGACAGAACTATGCGGCAGCGATGGAACGAGGGATTGCCAAGGTGATGGCCAAGATGGGGATATCGACCATGTTGTCTTATAAGGGTGCTCAAATCTTCGAAGCCGTTGGGCTTGGGCCCGAGATCATCGACAAGTGTTTCAAGGTTCTAGCATCTATTCCTTCTATTCATGGATACGCATGCAAAATAAGCACTCCCACGTGTGCCACTCGAGATCGTATGAATTTTAAACATCGATTTTCGCCTAAAGGGACATCCATTTGTTTGAAAATCCACCTGAGGGTTGTCGTTTTTTAGCGGTTTATCTTAAAAAAAATTAACTTATCGCGTGCGTGTTGGCAGCCCCCTGAGGTTGAGGCCCATTGAGTTCATGGAAGAAGAAATCGTCAGAATCTTAGTTTTGCTTGCACAGCTTGCTTGTTTTTTTTTTTCCAAGAGTCACTGCTGGTTGACCGACTCGGAATTGGATAGTAGCTATTATCATTTTAGTGAATGATTTGCAAAATTTAGAAAAATAATCTTTGGATCACCCATGTTCGAGATTCTCAAGGTCAAGGAGGTTAACGATGTTAGGTGGAAAAAACTAATCTCTTTGCTACAACTAGAAACTAACCTTTTTTTTTTACATGCTTTTACTACGCGTTACTGAAGAGCTGGGTATAAAAGTATTCGCGGAACCTGCTGGTATCTAGCCTGCAGGGCAGTTGCAGTCGGCCATTTCGCAGTAATAATTCATCTTAGCTACATTCAACCACATCAAGATACAAAAATAGAAGTGGTGCAAAAAAAAATTTCCGACGAACAGAACATATAATAGTTTTAGCAATAATATATAGCATATAGTATAGTAATTTCTTTCTTCTAGATTTTGCATGTGGGAAAAATTGTAATAGCAACTTTCCAATTCCGAGTCGGTCTACTATCACCCCGGAAAAGTGTCCACTTCATGAAAAGGTGGCTCTTAAAGCAGACGAAAAATCTCCATGGCCCATCCATATGTGCGCAATTCTTTCTCAAAGCAGTTCAACTTAAAGAAATGTTAAGAAGTATTTGTGTTATGTTGACAAGTTCTGCTGCCGCCACACGTTGCATCTATAATCTAAGTGATAGAGCAATTGTAAAAGTTTTGTTCCTGACCCCTTATCTGGGGAGCGCGGCTTTATCCGCTCTCCGAAAACTGTTTAAAACCGAGGAGTGCGTATATATACGAAAAATTTCTTGAGAAAATTTTCAGAGTTCGGATAAGGCCGCGATCCCCAGGTAAGGGGTTAACAATTGGTTTGATGAACGTCGTACGATTGGACCATTACGAAGATATTCTTAAATGCGAATTTTAATTAATTGGGTTTGATTCAAAGAATTCGGCATCTCGTCTGGGCGGGATCACTTTCCGCCACTTGGCCGAGGAGACATTCGACCGTCACAGGATCGCCTTCGATAGCAAAGAATGCGATTCCCTAATTCTTCGCAATCCTGGCTTCTATCACTGGCGGAATGGCGGGGAACAACACGTGAATGACCCCCTCAGCATTGCTCGTCTCCAGGTCCTCCTCCTTTCTTCCTCAAATTTTTATTCCTCTTATAGTTCACCTATCTGGCGGAATTAGGCCACTTTTAGGGTGCTTTTGTTGGGGAATGTAAATCCAGGACACTTTGAAGGCTAAAATTTGAAATATATGATATTACCCTCTATTTCAAATACAGTCCTTGTGTAGCCAAAATGACGCAGTAAGTTGGGTTGCATATACGGTGCATAATGATGGAATGCGATTTTCAATGAAAGAAGAAGGAATCAGGCACATTATAAAAGCTTGATAGTCCTTAATTAGAAATATGTCGTAATAGTGTTATTTTGTGCTGACACACCAACAATCATTTGAGGTTTTCCATTTTCTCGTGTAAAGCTTGCTTAGGTAACCCAACTTATTGGGTCATCTTAACTATTACACCTTTTATGTCAATTTTGCCTCATTTGTTTGGAGGTGATAGAATAAATGAGGTTTGTGCTCATAATATACGTTCATATCGTAAGGTTTTCCTTGCGAAGATTTCCACGAGCGTGATGCATGGCGAAAATTTCGTAAAATATGAGCCTATTTCTCGTCGCCTGTAATTTCCCTCATGTCCGTTGGGTTGATTTTAAGATTTATCTATTAGGAAGCTTCGAAGAGTAACAGTCCAGAAACATACCGGCAATACGTGGAGGATGCAATTAAGTCGATCAGGGCGTGCACCCTCAGAGGTCAACTGGAGTTCATTCCGAGTGAGAAGCCAATCGATCTGAGCGAGGTCGAGCCCGCATCCGAGATCGTCAAGAGATTTGCCACTGGGGCGATGAGTTTTGGAAGCATCTCGTATGAGGCTCACACTTCCCTCGCCATCGCCATGAATCGCGTCGGTGGCAAGTCCAACACCGGGGAAGGAGGTAGGCAAAACAACCACATCGCACCTTTGAAGAATGAAAAAAATAAGGAATTGATGAAATTTTGTATGAAAAACTGATGAGATGTAATGAGTTGAATATTTCAGCAGTATTTCAGCAGTATGTTTCGAGAGGGCTTGGGCGTGTTATTGTAAATCATGATTGTTGGGACTGGCAGGCGAGAGCCCGGACCGATATTTGTACCACGACCCAGAGTACAACTTGAGATCGGCGATCAAGCAGGTGGCGAGCGGGCGATTCGGGGTGACGGCAACATATTTGGCCAACTCAGATGAAATTCAGATTAAGATGGCCCAAGGTGCCAAACCTGGCGAGGGTGGAGAATTGCCTGGTTACAAGGTACGGAAACATTCAGCCTCCGTCTGCCTCCTATCGATTAACTCGTTTATGCTGATGATACTCTTGACATCCTGGAATTATATGTTATTATTACAGAAATCAATAAAATAGTATATATAAAAATTTAAAGAATAAATGAAACGTCAGACATTGAGAATAACTGATGTTAACGAGCCTCTCGAACTCCTTGCTGAGGTCACGGATGGCAATGATGGCGAAGAAGAAAACCGAAAATGGATGCTATTTAGCTATCGTGTCTTTATGTTATATTGCTACCCTGCTTAATGCAAAGCACCTACGTGGTTGGCATTGATACTTATCAGACCAGAAACTACACACAAGCCCGCGTTGAAAAAAGGGAATGCAGGGTCTTGTATCCTACTTCACTTTGCAGTTCTACATCGCCAGCTCTCATTCAGTCTTTTAATAGTCATTGTAATAGACATGAATGAAGGCAGATATTCTTTCCATGAAATAACACCTTGCTTGCTGTGCCTTTTCAAGCTAGCTTAGTCCAAACCGTCGGCCTTTGTGGGAGTAAAAGGTCAAGGTGCTGTTGAAGACGTCTAGAGGATTTTCTGCAGATATTGACATTTGTAGCCGAGGTCGAACTCTCTTTTAGGATTGGCCTACCTTTAATGTTAATGCTAATTTAAAGCTAATGTTAACTTTAAAAATTATCCCCCTTTCTTATTTAACTGCTCATTTTCCTGGCTGGCTGGAGTCACTAGTTGCGTATGATAAGGAAAGTTTATTCCTTTAGCTTTCCCACGATACACTGGTGCTATCGCGAAATGGGATGGTGAACAATCACGAGGAAAGAAGAGATGCTCTGATGTTTACCATAATTAATGCAAAAAACTTCGCTTCAGTTTTTGACGAGTTTGCCAGAATCATTATCTTCTCAAGAACAATTCATCTCTCTGTGTTTTGTTGTTACCTCTCTGCTTTTAGGACTACAGAAGCTCTGGGGTATGAACCAATTATTGATCATTGATTGATCCATGTTTCATGGTGCCGCTCTTCTCCTACCAGAACAGGGATCTACAAAAAGTACAATTTAACTTTATAGGAACAACATGCACATTTTGGCATCCTTGTGATAAGCTAATGAGGAGTCTCGAATAAGTAATTTCGGAATATCCAAATGCTTGCCTGGCCTCCGTGAACTAGAGTTCTTCAGATCAACGTCTGAAGCGGATGCTTGACAGTTACACAAAAAAATACCTCGGGTCAACCCATCATTGGTGGAGCTCTGACACTCTGCTAGACTTTCGAATGTATTTATGTATTTCGAATGAATAGTAAAGGTTAACACGACTGATGGGATGATCAGGAGGCTTGGATTCCATTCCTGGCCTTTCCCTAATCCGCATTTGCTCTTATGCCTCTGCCCAATACTCGTCCTTGTGTAACTCTAGATCCACGACGCAATATTATTTTACAAATAGCATAGTGTAAAAATATGACGTAATGAGGGAATGTAACGGAGTGGTTGCTGTTGTGGCTGTGGCTGAAGGTGACTGAGGAGATCGCGGCGACCCGTCACAGCATTCCCGGGGTGGGGTTGATCTCTCCTCCCCCTCATCACGACATTTACTCCATCGAGGACTTGGGGGAACTCATCTACGATCTCAAATGCTCCAACCCCAAAGCCAGGATCTCCGTGAAACTCGTCTCAGAACTTGGAGTCGGCATCGTCGCCTCCGGCGTCGCCAAGGTAACAGAAATGCCGAGCAGCAATTTTGGCAAGCGAACTCTTCTCTCCTAATTTATTAATTATTTTTACTCGTTTGGAACGTGATACAGTGAGGATGGTGGAAAGTGTGGGTTCAGAGTTTCGAAATGTACATGTATAAGTAAACTTAACTTTAATAGACTTCGATTTTCACTTCCTTTCAGTATCTTTCAACTTCATCACGTGGATTTATGTAACTGGAAACAATGCATAGAGAACTTGACAATAATTATCATCTATTGAAATTGGTCTTTGAGCGACTTCAGCATTTAATTTGAATTTGTACGTTCACGCTTACTTGGATTCGTTAAACGATATTTTGCCAGCACATTTTTGAAGTATCTGAAAGTTTTGATGAGTACTTTTTGAATGTTCGTAAGATGAAATTTCTTGCTAATTCTGCCTCACCACTGTTAAAAGTTAAATAAAATGAAATTCACTAAAGTTTCTAAAAATGGTTCTCATTTAACATCCTCAAAGAATCTTTCATTCCTCTTGATGATGTAGGCGAAAGCAGAGCACATAACGATCTCGGGTCACGACGGAGGGACGGGAGCATCGTCATGGACAGGCATCAAAGGGGCTGGGTTACCCTGGGAACTAGGAATCGCTGAGACACATCAGGTCCTCACCTTGAATGACCTTAGGTCAAGGATCGTCCTCCAAGTCGATGGGCAAATCCGCACAGGTCCCTATTCCCTCTATTTTTTTCTACCCTTCCTTCAATGACTGCCCAAAATGTCTTCCAAGTTGAGTTTGTTGCGAATAATTTTTCTTCGAAATATAGCCATAAATTATTTTCAATCCAATTCCTGTTTTTCTGAAGTCGGATAGGTATTAAAGTTTCATACAGCCGAGCTGTGAAAACTGTTCATGTAAAATAATCGACTTTGCCAGTATTCTTACCACTTCTAAAAACTTGAACTTCGGCTTTGGGAGCTTTATCATGAGTACCACCAATCTGGAGCCAAGTGGATTTCCAACGACGGCTTGAAAACTATAAAAGTCTGCGGGAGAAAAATGAGAATGATGGCAATGATGGTCTTGGCAGGGTTTGATGTCTTGATCGGGGGAATGTTGGGGGCTGACGAGTTTGGCTTCAGCACGGCTCCTCTCATCGTACTTGGATGTACCATGATGCGCAAGTGTCACCTTAACACCTGCCCTGTCGGCATCGCCACTCAGGATCCCATCCTTCGCAGGAAATTCCAAGGGAAACCCGAACATGTCATCAATTACCTTTTCCTTCTCGCCGAAGAGGTCTATTTCTTCCTTCTTCCTTTCCTCGGTTCACTATTCCCGTTTCCTTTGCGAACAGTTTCCAAGTTAAAACTTCAGGAACAGGTGATTCGAGGAGTTAAAAAATTTATCCAGTATTATATGTTTGCACTTCGTGTTTGTTCAATTAGTAAGCTGCGTAATTTTTCGCAGGTTTCAACTGTCCGATCTTCCCGAGATAAAAATAGAAAAGCTATTCGCTCCTTGATGAACGAAACGTGAAATTTGCTATTATCTTCATCAGGTGAGGGGATACATGGCGTGCTTGGGGGTGAGGAAATTTCAGGATTTAATAGGGAGGACGGATTGGCTGCGTGTCCGTAAGGACGTGAGTGGAAAGTCTTCCTTCCTCGACTTCTCCGCCGTTCTGCAGAATGCATCCTCCCTGAGCCCCGACGTGAACATTGTCGCCGCCTCCGTTCCCCAGGTCATACTAGCACTCACTCCTAACATGCTTCTTCAAACTTTAAGCGTTAAAGTAACCTCGGAGAATTAGTCGATTTCTGCATCTTGGTAAGGTATTTGGAAATTCACAAGGCTCTGGACCTGTGAAATTCCGCACATGCACAATTGTGATTTGACGGAGTATTGAACATAAAAGAGATAGCTTTGAGAAACTCTTAATTGGTAACCCGCTCTTTATGCATTTTTAATAAATATTTATTTGCAATATCTTTCAATGTTGACTTTGGCACACTTTTGGGCTCCCTAAAATTTGATGAGCAAAAACTTCGAGGTTCCTGGCCGTACTTTCCCCCGAGCGGATTTGTAGATATACTGTAAGCAATGGTCAAGGATCAGGGAGTCTTTTTTTCAATCATATTTCAATCACCATCACCAGGTGATTGAAAAATGAAAGATCAGGCGTCTAAAAGCAGGATCCTACCCATAATCGAAACAAACATTCTTGCCCATTTACAGCCATTTACACTCAACTGTTTTGGCTCTAGTCGATGACACGCACAAACCTATGGACATAAGGTTATTATTATTATAAGATCTTATCTGCAAAAAGTTCTATCCTCAATCTCCACACGGAAAGAGTGAATATTCTAGTGACCGTCTTGTCAAAAGTGAAGAAGGGTGGTATGTGTTGATAGATCACTTCATCGTTTACGAATTCTAAAAACTAAAACTTTCAATGTAAGGAACAAGGTTCTATGAGAACGAACCCTTTTTTCATTTATTTTGCAGATAGACCAGTTTACCTTTCAGCCCTTTATTAAGCATTATAATGATATATTCCCCTACTCCGTTATTGCATCCAATTCTAGATTAGTTCGAAGTACTTGGTATTGGAGATTTGAACGCTGAATCCTTGGAGTTTAAATGCATGAAGAGACTGGTTCACATTTTTTGGCAGCTTGTTTAGGTCCCAGCCATTAGAATCGTATAAATTGAATTGTATAACATTGTAAATTTGGAAGAGACGATGAGGATGAGAAGAGAAACGAAATTCGATTTAATTTTGTGTAATTTAGGACTTTCAGTTGGACAGCCGTCTAGATTCTGTACTGATCGAAAAGGCGAAGGATGTCCTAGAAAAGAAGGCCAAGAAGGTAGACATTGAGATGGAGGTAGAGAATTCCCAGCGTACCTTCGCTGCCACCCTCTCCTACCAGATCGCTCTGTAAGTCCTTCCACTCTTCCCGAGAGACTTTCCCAACAATAACATTATTTTCGTTTTCTTATGTGCTCTTCATTAAATATCTTCGTTCAGTCTATCTTTCCTTCGGCCTATCTTTGTTATATTTTTCTCTGTGTAAAGTCAGCGATATTGGCTGTTGGACAGACCTGGACAGGCAGAGAGTTTTCGTCATGTTCCGAGGAGAAAACTAGCGAGGAAAAGAAACAAATATACAAGCTTGCCCACTGACTATATTCTCTTCTACACCAGAGTAGCCTTACTCGCCACTCGACGCATGTCTCTTGAGGGGGAATGGAGAATTCGTTCGCATACCCAAGCTTGTTAATGAGGGAACCGAGGCATCGCAGCTCATTGGTCTCCATCACCAAGTGTCTTCCTCCAAATTGAATGCATACGATATGAAAGTTTAGAGGGGATGAGGCTCAAGTGATTGTAGAGAGAGATCCAATTTGGAAAGGGGAGAGGCGATGGATGTTGGAGTGCAGGTTCCCCTGCTTCCTCCCCCCCTTCCCCCTCTCTTCCCCACTCTATCCGTTTCCTTTTCCAATGCCATTTATTTTAAAATTATGTTCAACGCAAAATGATATATCTGATCAAGAAACGAATTTCGGTCGTAGAGATTCGGACTGTGATCATGTTTTGTTCAATTAAGTGATGCAATGAAGGACAGGACTAGGCTTGCCCAACTCATTTGTCCCAGCCCCATGGACTCGGCATTCCAAACTTTTCTGGTCTGGTCTTTCTGGTCATGTCACCAGGTAGCTTCGACGGATCCCAGCTGAGGTACCAGGTGTCACATTCCCACGCCACGAATGGGTGACCTTAAATCGCATCCGGACTCTTCATGATCGATCCGGACACCTGATGCACAAGTGGCGTATTAAACAATCGCCAACGTGCGAATGCAGCACTCCAATCCAAACAATGGAGCACATCATCAACGAATGCCCATTGTACTAATTTCCCGGCAGCATCAAGGATATACACACAACATCGCTAAAAACTCTTGACTGGATTTCAAAGATTAACATCAATTTCTAATAGTCACTATTCCCATACGAAAGAAGAAGCTTCGTTTGTTGTATTGACTGATGTTTCTAGGCATATTTCGCAGGAAATTTCAATGACTGCATCGACAGGTGCCTTTGAGGGATTGATTTTTTGCTTTCCTATGCTCTACCCCTAAAAAAAAATTAGGTCAGCAATGCCCTATCTGTCGAAGCTCTCCATTTTCTTTATTGCTTCTAGAGTTCGGAACCTGTTAGTTTTTATTTCCGCCACAGAATGGTTACCTCATAAGAATTACCATCAATGACGTCTCTGGAATCTCCCGTGAAACGCGAAGAGTCATCTTCTGCAGAACGACGTATACTGTCAGTAATATCAATGTTTTCCCTCTGGCCTGCAGGTCCCTCAGTCCAACGGTTGATAACTGCAAATCTTTAAGTTACATCTGATTTCGCTCGATTTAATATTTTGGAAGTCATGCGATTTTGCCAATTTTAAAGCAAGGTGCAACCATGGAGAATTGGCAACCGTGAGATTTATGCACAAGTGAGAGTACAAAGAGCCGTCACGAATATTTACAAGTTCTGGATTGCGGTAGAAAAGAAAAAATAATAATATGGTCAAGTAGTCGAGTTAGCCGTTTCGCGAAATTGGTTAATTTTCACCAACTTCTATAATGAAGTCCGACCTGAGATTTGCCGGCCAGCGGTCGAAGCCGCTTCTCGTAGTGACGATATTCGGATACCCGTAAAGAAAGAGTCTATTTGGCAGGAAATTCGGGGAGATTGGTCTGCCAGATCATTCCATCAACATCAAGCTTAAGGGCTCATCTGGGCAGAGTTTCTGCGCTTTCCTCGCCCGAGGGATCCATGTCACGTTGGAAGGCGATGCTAATGATTACGTTGGAAAGGTAAGTCTTCCTACTTCTTACTCTTTTTGCTTCGCCCCGAAAAATTTAAAGGAAGTGGCGTATAGTAGAAGAATTGTAGTAATAGTAGTAGAATTGTAGTAATAGTAGTAGAATTCAATTCAACTAGACAAGAGTAGACCAATATTGTCGCTCTACCAGATTCAGTAATTTTAACATTCATGATCAATATTTGTAACAGATCTTGTGAAAACGGTTTGAATAATGCATGGTATTAAATCCTGAACCAAAGAATATTATTAGATAATCATCTCCCTGAGGATTTTGCAACATTAATCAAGTACATGTGGCGATATGGGTGTGCACTTATCAAGTGGCATTGAAGCAACTACTATCTACCTGCCAGAGACTTGAATCTGAAATTTGATCGACTACCGATAAGGGCTGCGTTCAAATGGCGAGGCTGAAGCTCGCTGGCGTGTCTGATCTCGGCAAGTGTAAATCTACATGCAAAGCTAAATGCTGAACTTGGTAAAGTGATTTGACCCCCAACTCCACGCAGTATTAAAGGAACTCAGATATTTCATTCCAGCGTTTACCTAGTCTGAAACGGTAAAATAAGAATAGGAATTACGGGAATTAGTGAAATTTCACATTTTAATTCGCTGATGCTTGAAACAGCGTGGAAAAGGAACTAAAGCTGTTCGCTATCTAAAGGTCTCTATCGAAGTATACGTCAGAGGCCTATGAATCCAGGCTTAGTTGTATCACCAGGATTCCGATTGTGATTTATTTGATTAAATTATTCCTATACAAAAAAGGGCGAATTCCTAAGTGCAAAAAATCCCACAAACATGAAATATCAAAATGATAGCATAAATCATACATCCACGTTGGGGATTTCGAAAGAGCTATCATTTGCCACAAGTTTCAAGTTTCTATCTTCCTTAAAAAGGGACATATAAGCCGTCTAATTTGGAAGAAAATGACAAATTTGGAATTTTCAATCTTAATATATCATTGTTTCAAGCCAAGTACGTAGTTAGAATTTAGTTATTTCCATTGTTATTGTCTGTTATGGCAATGTTGCGAAAGCTTAGTGTATTACCATGATTCCCATTTTTCGAAAATTTTAATGCAAAGTTTGGAATTTTTTTACATTTAATGAAGCCATAGGTTCTCTGTAATAAAACTACAGAGCTGTGCATCAGTTAAGTCAAATTCAGCTTGGTCAAACCACTATAATTTGAGCCCAAAAACTCTTTCCTAGTTCAATTAGGGCCAAGGATAGTCGTTTGACCCCGTTCGACGCTCGAACCATCAAGAATGGTTCGCGCATCAACGAGATTTGTGGCATTTTAAATTGATATTCTGCTTGCAGCAAGTTTTAAATTTTGAAATTGTTTAAAATTCTTAAAAAAATTATGTAAACTTGCTACTGCACCGAAGTTACCGGTGAATATTTGAATTTAGAAATATAACCAAGCACCAAAAGTATCGAGTTACTTTTGGTGCTGGCATTGCTGCAAATAGTAAGTAAAGGGAAGAGTGAGGACCAGGAATATTGCATATAAATTGCTAACATGTCTGGCAGCAACAATGTTGGAGAATGAATTGTGTTTTCTTATAGGGTCTGTCGGGTGGGGAGGTGGTGATCTTCCCACCAAAAGACATGGGAGAAGATTTTAAAAGCGAGGAGAACGTCATCGCCGGGAATGTGTGTCTCTATGGTGCCACTTCTGGGAAAGCCTTCTTTCGCGGTGTTGTCGCCGAACGATTTTGCGTCCGCAATTCCGGCGCCTTCGCCGTCGTCGAGGTCTGCTCTCTTTCTTTCTACCTTCCTTCGGTCTTCCTACCTCACCTCTCCACTCTTATCTTTTCTTCATAGTTGTCACTTTAGATGCTCCCAGTGCTCACTTCTCGATTTCGTTTTTCAATTGCGATCGAATTCTCCCGATGAGGAAAAAAAGTGGATGGACTACACTAAATCTGTAGATTTAATTATGCATTTCCTCCTTGGAATTCTGCAATATTTCATACATTGACTATAGCTTACTTTGAACTGCTGTAAATTTATTGCCGGCCAGTTGCATAAGTTTATACTAGGAAACCACTGGTAGCGAATCTGCTCGCGCTTCATTTATGCGTTTATCCTCAATGAGACGTGCGAAATTGGCAGCCTCCTTTTGCTCGGTAATTTTTTTTTCCTCACTCATCGTAACACTGCTCGGTGGATGAATGAATGCAATCTAGGGAGTAGGAGACCACGGTTGCGAATACATGACAGGGGGCCGAGTCGTGATCTTGGGACCGACAGGACGGAATTTTGCCGCCGGTATGTCCGGTGGTATCGCCTACGTCTACGACCCACACGGCACCTTCAAAAAGTAAGACATCGTCTAGTCCGTCAGCTTCCCTGGGATGAAATGAGAGAACCTACCCATGCATGGGACGTTGTTTGAAAGGAAATGCAATACGGTGATGGTGGAGCTGCTCCCGCTGCTCTTCGACGAGGACATCCAGCTCGTTTACCGGCTCCTAATTGAGTTCTATGAAAAGACGGATTCTCAGGTCGCCAAGAGGATATTGGACCAATGGCCCCACCCAACCAAGAAGTTTATCAAGGTTTGTGACTAACCACTCTCAATCTATGCGTTTGCCTCAGGAAAAAATGATTGAAAATGAGTAATATTTTCCTTGTGATTCTTTCATCGGAAGTGCTCCAATATGACGATGTTCGAGAAAAGACTAACAAGCTGTGACTTTAAAAATATAAGTATAGAAACTCCAACCAAGGCTTTCCCGATATAAAGGGGATTTCACAAGATACTGAGTATGAAATGAAAGAGCAGCGAAGCCACTTGAGGTTGCCAATGAGTTTTCAGCCAAGAATGACCGAGTTGCTTTCATAATCGTTGTCATGTCCTCTATAGATGTAAGAGAACATGTGGGACAACTTTAGTATACAATATAATGAAATTTTGGAGTCTTTCTTAACAACGCAACCTTAAAACCTTCACTTTAAAAACGAAAACAGCGTAGCCAATAGACGTCTTCTGGCGGCGTCCGAAAACACCAGAAGAAAACCAAGAAAAGCAATACGTTGGGGGGGGGGAATCGTAAAGTAATCGTAATGTTAATGTAAAATGCGTAATATAGTCTTAGAATGTAAATCCATGTATTGTACCAGTTCAAGCCGTTCCAAATGAAAAAAAAAGAATTCAGTAGAAAATGGGTTCAAATACAGGTGTTCCCGTTCGAGTACCAGCGAGCGATGCGTCAGGTACAAGGGCGGGCGCTAGTGTATCAGGGGAGTCGGAGCCTCAGCCGGCAGGGATCTTCCATCTCTCAGACGGATTTCCTTTTTCCACCTGGAAGTCCCACCGTTAAGAGTGGTCATGAGGTCCACGACACAGCTCCTATCAAGGACATTGAGGATGTACTGAGGGACGGACACATCGAAAGACGTAGGGCCGACAAGGTCCTCGATAAGACCAGGTATGTCCACGATCGTGACAACAGCACATGCACTCGCATTCTGAATTGCCGACTCAGTTGAAAACGAAAGTCGAGCCTTAGAGCCAAGCAATTCTAAGACCTTTAGAAGTTAAGCATTTTATTGAACCACCCATATTGAACGGCTTCAGAATACTCTTCGCAAATCGAAAGGGAGAAATCGATAATTCATACGTTCTGTATACCTTTCAAGCCTAAATTCACCGCAAAAGTGGTATGTACCATAACGGCATTCATTTGAATTGCCACCAAGCAAGATGTGAATAATAGCATTCAATGTCATGAATTCACGCATGGTATCGAAATTTCGCGGGGCTATCGCTAGCCACACGTAAACGAATCTGTATCGGTCAAAGTAAGATGCCCATTCCATGACTTGAATCTTACTCTTGAGTCTTCAGTTAGCATCAAGTTGTGGTATGAGTATGTCACTTGTCTGGTGGTAAATACGCGGAACGAGTTAGGTGATGATAACCCTCGTTCATTCCATGGATAGGTTTAAGAAGAGGTTTTAGATCTCTTCATAGGCGAAACAAGAAAAGGAAGCTATATATGATATACCTCAAGTGTCTTCTGACAGATTGAGAGACGGGGGGAAAACCGGTTTTTTACCCCAGTTTCACCGTCCCAATTTCACCTCAGGGGAAAATTTTTATAAGGGTAACAAATAGCGCAGAAAAAAAATGAAAACGAGATTTTTTCTTGAATCTCATATTTGTATTAACTGTCTGCCACAGCATCCACTATTTTAACTTGGTATGTGAATTTCTGGTACATTAGTAGTAAATTGTTCCTGACTAGGTAGGAAACGCCCAAGGGTGGTCACAAATGGCACTCCAGCCGTGCGCGACCCCCGCGGCAAATTTGGACGCGAGGATTACACTTTTCTTTTCTAAAACGGGTGTCGGCTCTGCTCAGAGAAAATCAACATCGTGTCTCACAAATGCGGCCTTTGGAAATTACGAGGATATTTCCAGCGGAGTTGCTATATTCCTCTTGGAAAAAAGAAAAAAACACTTCCATTCCCTGTGCCTTTTGAAGCCTCTTTTTCGTCTTTACCTTTGTTCGTTAGGCCTAGTTTGTCCAAGAAATTTTTCTTCAAAAATTTTCTTTGCAAGTCGACATGCAAGGAAAAAAAAAAATTTCGTGGTGAGGACGTCGTTTTATAGATATGTGCAAGATTTTCAATACTCTGAGATTTCAACGTTTTCTTTCAAATATCTTTCTTTGCCAAATTCTTTCATCGTCTATGCATCGTCTTTCTGGTTTGGATGAGGTCTTATGGATCATATATCCCTTGCCGCGGAAAATTGCATATCCATTGAAGTCTGGCTTTTCTAAGGTAAGCAATAAAGATTTATGACAAATATATCAAAGTATAACACTTTATCCATTGCCAAAAAAATTTATAAATTATTCGAAAAATTTAGTGTTTTGATTTTACTTTTACCTGCAACCTGTTGTTTGTATACTGTAGTTTTTTTTTAATAAAACGGAGACAAATTAGGCGCTGAATTCAATGGAGGAAACTGCGTTGACTTACTTGAACAGGACTGGACTGTCCTGGCATCCATTCTCAAAACTCGATATTGAATCGCAAGAGATGACAAAACTTTAGACCATTTGCTCTTGTATACAAATAATCTAGACGGAAAGAAGGATTCAGCCCAATTGAAAACCCGTGAACCCCCCCCCCCCCCCCGCATGAAAAATATGGTAGCAATAATTTAAATTATCCCCTTTTTGCCTTTTGCCCATGCCTTTTGGCATGGAAGTTAAGCAAATGCTGCGAAGCGGAGAGTTTTTTCTAGTCATATATGCTTTATAAGTTGGAATTCGAGGTAGTATGAGGAACTGTTGCTTGCGCAAGGATTGTGCTCGATGGCATGTGAGAATGTGAATTTGACAGAGGGTTCGTGAAGTACCGCCGGGAAATCGGAGTCTACCGACCCGCTGAGACGAGAATGAAAGACTGGGAAGAGATCTACAATTTTGAACACGTCCGACGGGGTCTCAGGGTGCAGGCGGCAAGGTGCATGGACTGTGGGGTACCCTTCTGCCAGTCCGCACACGGGTGTCCCCTTGGCAACATCATCCCGCGATGGAACGACTTCGTCTTCCACGGGGAATGGAAGGAAGCCCTTCATCAGCTTCTGCAAACCAACAACTTCCCCGGTCAGGCCTAATTATCATCCCTCGTTCCCGGATAAAATAACTCCTTTGATTTTTCCAAATGTCACGTGAATGTAAAACGAACATCAACAAGCAGAAGTAAGCCGTCTCTTCTATAAAACTTCGTTGGTTACTGTTTACGAGAAAGCCTGTTTACGAGTAGTGCAGAAGTAACAAATCGTCCATAAGTGCTTGGTTGTGTTGAATTTTTCTATTTCACAAAAGCTGCTCAGAAAAATCAACTGACAGAAGCTCTCAGATGAGCTAATGTCCCCACGGCATTTAATGACTCAAATAGAGAATTAATCTGGCTGAGTACATTTTCATTTTCGAAAATTGCGTCTGCATGCAGAAGTGCAAAATATGGGTGCCCAGTGAATGATCCCAAGTAACACAGAATGTTGATGAAACGTTTCCGAAATGTTGCCTATGTTGCAAGTTGCTGTACAACATTGAGAAAACATTGCTTCAATGTTTTCACTTGGAATGTTGCGACACTTCTACGAATGTCATTGCAACATTAGCNATATTTTCTAATATCATAATGGCACATGGAACAAACGGGCTTAAGCAAGGCACTTCAGCAAAATTTAGGATTCTTGGCATTTCCATGTCTACTGAAACGCTCAACCAGGACTGGAGGTATCTCTTGATCCAAAAAAGTAGAGCCTATCATGCAATGTTAAGCTTGTCCTTTTGTCTGCATGGTAATATGGTGTATTTGCCTGCACGCAATAAAAAAGATTATGTTCGTCTTCTCGCGGGCTGTAATTACTTTTGCTTTCCTGCACTTCTTTTGAGTGGTGTTTCCCAATTGTGCACACTTTCCCGATTTTTCCTTATGATTGAAACCTTGGGCTTGATAAGGAACTCGCTGTTAGCGAGTTCCTTAACATGCCCTTGATCATATCCTTATCCCCAAGGGCCTATTTGCGCACACAAGAAACTACGAAGTTGAGAGAGAAGACCAAAAACAAATAGTTTCGAGTAGAATAGTCTAGTCTTGTTCATCTATCATCTTCGGCACAATTCACCTACATAGGACTGCATCATGAAAAAAATGGAAATTATTGCAAGCATCAAGCCAAAACTTAGTCAAGAAGTCGTAATTTTCTCCATCTCGAGGTGAAAATTTTTTTGAGAGTGACACTTTCACATAATCAAACCATAAGATGCGGTTTTCCGATATTGCCGGATGTATTGATCGAGAATCTTCTACCGCAGCTTTTCTTGCCTCAGCACGCGACGAGATCCTTTGCATGGAGCCCGCATCTTCAAGTAGATCTCTGCTTGCACTCCATCTCGATGAAGGGGATGAGTAGCATAAAATAAACGATTGAATTGAGAATGAAAACTTTCCTATGTCGAAATGGATCCTACTTTTAGTGGTGCGATTTGACGCAACACTAAAATACGTATCCATTTCGACTCCTGGAATTCCATTTTTTTTAAATAAACCAACATCACTAGGTGTGCTCAAAATAGGCCCTTGGGGATAAGGATATGATCAAGGGCATGTTAAGGAACTCGCTAACAGCGAGTTCCTTATCAAGCCCAAGGTTTCAATCATAAGGAAAAATCGGGAAAGTGTGCACAATTGGGAAACACCACTCAAAAGAAGTGCAGGAAAGCAAAAGTAATTACAGCCCGCGAGAAGACGAACATAATCTTTTTTATTGCGTGCAGGCAAATACACCATATTACCATGCAGACAAAAGGACAAGCTTAACATTGCATGATAGGCTCTACTTTTTTGGATCAAGAGATACCTCCAGTCCTGGTTGAGCGTTTCAGTAGACATGGAAATGCCAAGAATCCTAAATTTTGCTGAAGTGCCTTGCTTAAGCCCGTTTGTTCCATGTGCCATTATGATATTAGAAAATATAATTTGCTAATGACAGATGTTTTAAACATCATTGGACTTTTGGGAAAAGGATTGTAATTTATTTGTCTGACGTGATAATTTTTCTTTACTCGGCAGAGTTCACGGGAAGAGTGTGCCCGGCGCCTTGTGAGGGAGCCTGTGTCCTGGGGATCAACGAGCCGGCAGTTACGATAAAGAACATCGAATGTGCCATCATCGACCATGCGTTTGAACAGGGCTGGATAATCCCCCAACCTCCAAAAATCCGAACTGGGAAAAAAGTGGCTGTAATTGGCAGTGGTCCAGCCGGTCTCGCTGCTGCTCATCAGCTCAATAAGGTAACCTATAAATTCCATATTTACTGCCTTAAAACTCCGAGGGAAGTAAAGGCACCAGGCATTCAGCACCGGAAATAAAATGTAGCTCGAATCGGTAATGCTAAGTGGAGATAGATACCAAGAATGTCGGGCATGGCTATCAGTTGTTCTTTTGACAATGCTCAATGCGTTTCGACCATTACCATTCCACTGCCTCTCAAGTGACCTTAAGTGATATCTGGTACCTCTCCCTTCCATGACGTTTACCGCAGTCACATCTTGTTCCCCGGGCTAGTCGGCCAGTCACGTGTAGATGAAACAACCCATAATTTGTCTTTCAACTCGATATTTCGATATGAGGCACTTCGTGCCTCCATATTACCCTTTTTTTTATTGACTCTTGCCACTCCTCCCGACGAAACCATATTGTTTGTCAAGGTGGGTCACTTGGTGACCGTGTTTGAGCGGAATGACAATATCGGAGGATTGTTGGAGTATGGAATTCCGACGATGAAGCTATCGAGAAAGGTAGTTCAGCGACGGGTGGATCTCATGGCCGAGGAGGGCATCATCTTCCGCACGAATGCTAACATCGGCAAGGACATTCCTACCAAGGTATCTCATTCTTTCATCAATGCCATTCCCTCCTCTAGCGTTTTTTACTTCTTTCCAAGGACTTAGTTCCACCTGAAGAATACACCACTCAACATTCAAAGTGGATAACTGTAATAAATAATTATAAATTCTACATTGTTCCAATACAATTATTTGGTTTCGTATAGCCTTGATACTTACATTTACAGTCGAATGGGTATTCGAACGATCGGGTACAAAGTGGTTCAAGTACATACAACCAATATGCGCCATACTTTATCACCTTCCTCGCTACTCACGAAATCCATAGTGATCAACTTGGAGTGGTGTACTTTAGCCTGCATCTTTGTCTTATCAGCAAATATCAGGAATATATGCACATACCGTTAGGAATATTGTCTGATACGTGATGTACGCTGCGCTGAAAGCCGCTGCGCTGAAAGAGGTGGCATGATGACCGATAGTGTTTCCCAAAGAGCGCCTCTAAGGGTGGTGCTGCATCTTGGACTTGCAACGATTCAGTGGGATCCTAGATCCGCAATAGAACATTTTCATGTAAAATTTTTAAATCTGGCTCCTTTTTAACTTTGTAAAAATATGCATGAACATAGGAAGAGTCTTCATTTTTTATTTTTCGAATTAGGGTTGTAACGTTATGTTATCATTATCGGTTATTGGTCAATATTAACAGTGTTGGTAGATATCGGCTTTCGGTTTCACCTTGCATTAAAATTTCCAATATTCTATTATTTATTTTCTTTCCTTCATATGCCGTGCTAAGAGCGTTAGGTAGAGGGGATCCAATGACAGTAAGTGGGGTTAAGCCAGGCTTCATGTAAATATAGGCTTTGACATGGTTAAGAATCCGCTTACATGGAAAACATGGATCGCTTACGAGAAAAATTGAGTTCTTAATATTGCTTACAAGATACCAGGTGACCGATAACCAGATATCTATCAACTGCATATCGTACATATCTGCTGAATATCGCAACATCGAATTTCGGCAAAATCTGATATCGGTGCGGTCCTATTTTTTTTTATACTGTACTGTTTGTACTGTTTTGTACTGTTTGGAAGTTCAGGGCATGCCTTATAGCTCACCGGGTTGCATATCTGGAAGGATGAAACCTATCCCTGGTGTGTAGTATCCTTGCAAATATGCAACCCGGTTGGCCTTATAGCGTTCGCCTACCTCCACCTACAAGCGGCAAAATATTCCCTATGTTGCGTTTAAATACGAACACCCTGTGTATATTGTTCTACATCGTCCTTTTGAGACTTTTTGCAGCGATTGGAAGGTGCTATCGAACTTGAAAAAATCTAGATTTACTAGGTGTAATATAATGAAACTAACCAGACTATGCGGGGATGGGCATGACGTCAGATGTTCTTCTATACAAAGAAAATAAGAAAGAGTGGGTAAAATTGCTAGTATAAATACTAGTAACTTCCTTTTACCTGAAATTCCATCTCCTTGGGGGAAAGATAGTGAACATTTTAATAAATGTATTGTGTGCAAGGACTTGAGGTGTAGTTATTGTGCATCCGAAGATGGTCCTGAAAATTGTACAGTTTTAGTTAAAATTAATATAGAGACAGAGAGGGAGAAAGATCTTGGAAACAGAAGCAAGATTGCGTCAAAACACTGAGCAGTTAGCGTATAAATTATTCCTTGTGTTGGTGTGAAAAGGCAATCTTATCTCTAAAGCAAATGCTAAAACTCCATGTTATCCCAAGGAGAAAAAGAGATTCCTCATTGAGCTTTGCTATTTGTAGGAAATCTATGATGGATATGACGCAATGGTCCTCTGTCTGGGAGCTACCTGGCCTCGGGACCTTCCCCTACCGGGAAGGAATCTGAATGGGATTTATTTCGCCATGGATTTCCTGGAGACATGGCAGAAAACTCAAATGGGTACCAATATAGATTTCGAAAAGTACTCGGCCAAGGGGAAAAAAGTGATGGTGATCGGTGGTGGAGATACCGGCTGCGATTGCATCGCCACCTCTCTCCGCATGGTAGAACCTTCCATATGGTAGAAAAGGAGGCCCTATATCGATAGGGCCTCTTTTTTTTCATCCAAACCTTATGCTGTGAGGAGGGAAAACAATAAGTTTGTGGGAATCTAGGGTGCGGAGGAGATCAAGACATTGGAGATCCTGCCTAAGCCTCCGCCGCATCGGGGATCTGACAACCCATGGCCTCAGTGGCCCAAGGTCTTCAAGGTCGACTATGGCCACGATGAGGTTAAGGTCAAGTTTGGGCGGGACCCTAGGCTCTACAACACCATGACCAAGGTAAAATGCTCTTCTACGCAAAAAAAATCAATAGGAAACTTGATGTCATGACGTCAATAACAAACCATTTCCACCTTAGTAGTCGATATTTTCTCAACCTGCAGGTAGAACTAAAAATATGCAGGAACAAAATATTTGAAAATAGACCGTGAGAGAAATTAAAACTAAATTCATTGATTGAAAATTAAAAGTATAACGGGGAAAAATATAACAGTATAAAAGTATAATGGTATAACAGTTCTTACCAACATAATTTTCTTCGGCCTGCCAGAGAAATTCTGTATTTGAGAGTCGTGTTGTTTCAAGGCCAGAGAAACTCGAATTGGAAATGCATTGCTTAGGAAGGATCGGAGTATTGTCGAAAACACTCATGATGATGATGGTGATCTGGAATATGGCACTAGGAATTCCTGGATGATGGGAATGGGAATGTGAGGGGGGTTCGGACGGTGAAGGTAGAATGGCGGAAAGACGACCGAGGTCGATGGGAGATGAAGGAAGTGGAAGGCTCGGAAGCTGTCCACGAGACTGACATGGTCCTTTTGGCCATGGGATTCCTTGGACCTGAAAAGGACATCATTGACCAGCTCTCTCTTCAACTAGATCCTCGATCTAACATCAACACCCTCGATGGCCAATATTCCACCTCCATCCCTCGGGTTTTTGCCGCAGGAGGTGAGATCGTTTTCTCCTCTCTTTTCCTTATTTCTAGCCAACTTCCTGTCTTCGAAAAAAAAATAAACCAACACTTTCGTGTACGTATAGTATGGAAGTTTCTAACTTCAGCATATATTTACCGACCATCTCAAACGTGGAAAACTTGAAATTAAATATGGTGCTAGAAGCAGATCATACAATATTTGCGACAAAAAAAGTCAATATGATCATGGAGTAACGTTCGCAGACCATCCCGAAACATGGTCCTGAGGCATATCCCCCCACTATTTTGCATTTTCATCCATGACAGTAAACTCGAAGGAGCTTTGTTTTAGACTGGGGTCCAATTCGTGTTGATTTTGGGTCCACAACCCAATGAACAACCCAGCTTATTTGTTGATCGCCTAAACATGTCAGTTCTGCGATGATTTGGAAAGTATTCAGTATGTTTTGAATGAAAAAATATTGATGACTTAATTCTGAATAGGTTTCACTATTCGTGTTGTGATTGCACTAATATATTCTACGAACATAAAAATATATGCAGTTTAGTTTTGTTTCTTGTATTTCCAGATTTAATTTCATTTCTATATTTAATGATTGCGAAAAAGTTCTTGTAAGCGTATTATTCTATTGTATTTTCGAGAGGCATGGACGAAAGTGTAAATATGAAGCTTTCGCATTTAGGGGCATAGGAATTACATATAGAAATTTTGGATCCGTTTCTGATTGGCAAAATATGCTCTCCTCTCATGCTATTATGTATTTTGTCTTTGACCCTCTTACAATGTTTCTAATGCATTTTTGGGCGACAGATTGTCGGCGGGGTCAGTCGTTGGTGGTGTGGGCAATAATGGAGGGTCGACAGGCGGCGAGAGAGATTGACCTCTTCCTCATGGGGGATTCGAGCTTGCCCGGTCCCGGTGGGGTCATCCAGATACTTCATCCTCAAGGATGAAGGAAACAAAAACACTCCACATCCTTTCCATCTCTTAGATAGTAAATAATCTTCTCTGCATGTCTTCCCATCTTCCTACCTGCTCGTGAGCTCCTCCTTCGCCAATTCGTGAGTTTCCCCAGTCTCAAAGAACCCGGTCTGAAAAGGCATCGCGTTGTTTCTCATATGATCTTGAATCTTGAATGATTATAATTTTTAGGTTGAAAGTGTAGTTCATTCGGCTGAGTAGAGAGAAATCCCAGACATGGCTCTAGAGGCTATTTTCACTTGACTCTTTCCTGAGCTAGAACCACCTTAACTTACGGAAACTTAACTTACTTACGCTCATTTTTATCAAATACGAGCATCGACAATGCCAAATTTTGCAAAGAAAAGTGACATTATTTGTTCCTCCCTCCAACCCCACTAATGCAACTATATTTTGCATGATTTGCAGGGTGTCGTAGACAGGCAAAAGGAAAGAAAGACTTAGGAAAACTCAAGACGCCAAGGATTACGGAAAACTCAGTGCTTCCTATGCAGTGCGTTATCTCTGTTTTTCCAGTCATCCGTGTGAATTTTCTGAGTCCCTCGTCTCTGTCTATATTCAGTCTCTTCGTGCGTCTCATAGCTGCAAAAATTATTGGAGTTCAAACGTGGTTCCCCTAGAAGAGTCCTCGTGTCGTTTGTTCAACAGTTGAGAGGCTACACAGTGCATTATATGCAGAAAGTATTGTGTCCTGTTGATGAATGTCCTGTTATTGAAAAGTCGTGCCCTGTTAAATGGATTTGGAATGCTGTGATGGAATAAGATGTCATGAATGGAATAAAGTGCTCATAATCCCAGCTCCCTCTCTCTTTGTCCGAAACGATCATTTCACAGGACCCAGTGTGCACAGAAATTTCACCTGTATTTTACAGATTTATTTCTCAGATGCAGATTTTTTCTCAGGGATTCAAATTGAGCATCTGTTTTACCCATATGTTTTGGAACACCAGTACGTACTATGCAGCAATGAAATGAAAAGGAGCAACTTTCTTTTGCACTCCCTGCATTTCATGCTGCAATATGGGCCTGGAAAAAAAAAAAGCAAAAAATGGGGGAAATGCAGCCTAGTTCTTTTGATTAGTCATTCCTGGGCACCCCTTTTCCGCTACCCTGACATCTTTGGCTATGTAAGCTACTGTCCCCGGGTGTTAGTTTTCATTTGCCAGTTCAAGAATTCCTCTTTATTGGCTTGAATCTATCATATCCATGACCTGAATGATACGGGCTATCTTTGGGTCATTCAACTCTTTGACATACACGAATAATCCAACAAATACATTGGCCCTTCGTTTTTTGGGGGGAGGGGAAATGAAGTTATTGTTCCATACCCAAACTCCACATTGGAAGGAAGAAGAACCTCACGTCTGAAGAGTCACATCTCAAATTTCACCCATCATATCCGAAAATTGAGTGGCCCAGGAGTGTGCCTAAAATTCTTTTTATTTTAATTTCGCTATTCATCTGTTGAGGAAGAGCCTAATCACAAGTTCTTCTACCTTCTATCGCTTTCAATCTCAATTTGGGATTTCTTGTACTAGAGGAGCATCGATTTGCTCAACCCCCGTTTCTGATTGAATCATTGCGTGATTCAATTGGGAAAATTCAATTGGAAACATTCTTCTCTCTTGCCATAGAAAAAGAAAATGTGCTTATTACCACATTACCAAAAAGCTTGACCCAACAATGGTCCCTCCATGGCAACGTCGGCAGATCGTCGGCATTGGCAGGCATGCTTGGCCCATTCGTGGCTCTAGCTTGGCTAGCCATCTTTCTGCACTTCATTGGTGGAGGACATAGGCTGATTCATGGCTCTAGGCTGGTTTGCACTAGACTGGACTGCAAATGTTATGCCAATAATGGGTTATTGGCATAACATTTGCAGTAGACGCAGTCCCAATAGAGGCTCCAGGTTGGCTTGCCATTATCGGTGCAACATAGGCGAAAGACACTGGCCCAATAAAGGCACCAGGCTGGCTTGCAATTAATATAGGCTAATATCGGCTGCAGGCAATATTGCTTCGCCAATATTGCCAATTTTGGCGCAGCAATGTCTCCATAACACTTCCCTTCCATATCGAACGGATGGGTCGATCCAAAGTACCTCAGTTGCACTTGAAAGCATCCGAGGAATGAAGTTCTCTTCTAGGCCACTAGATGACAGCATCGTTCTCGCTATCCAGACAGTACCCAAAAGTACCCTTCCCCCCTTCTCCAGATTCTTCCTTCACAGCGGTAGATACTGTAAGTACCCCATTATATATTTTGTAATGTCTCATGAAGGCAATCAATCGAAGCCGTCATATCTTCATTTATACCTTTTGAAACTTGCTTTTGGATGGTTTGCAATTCATTTCCGGCATTTGGTGAGTGAAGAATGTCGTTGGAAATATGTGAAAAGTGGTAGCAGTTTCGGCAAGTCAGAATCGACTTTCATTCACAAGAACTGGATCTCATTCGGAGACATACCGTTTCGGCCATGAAAAGTCATTTTCGGCGTTCCCTATGGAAGTAAAATTATAAATGAAATACGGCGACTAGAATCTCGAGATCGTCCGCGGTGTTTGAAGTTCGTCAACCAGCAACCCTAGTAGCGCACTCACGTTGAATCAACGTTGAATCAACGTTGATTCAACGTCATTTCGTCAACGCAGCTTACGTTGAAACCACGTTGCCTGTCAACATTGATTCTATATTGCAAGTTCATTTTTATCAACAATTGAATTGATTGAGTGGTCGACGACCGAATTTCACCAGTTAGAAAATTGGGATGCTCATTGAAGGAGTCGAGCGAAGGAGGAATGTCTTGCTGAAGAAACTCAGCTCAAGCGATGTAGGAAAAATGAATTTGCAAGCATAGGATTTAGAGAATGAGGCAGTGAGCTGTCTCTCCTCTGTACGGAGAACTGCTAAAAAAAAAGTAAAATCTAATTCATGGATCTGAAGTGATGTGCAAAAGCGAAAGGAGTTCAGTTTCTCAAGGAGAGTAGCAGGACTGGCGGTAGATCTTTCCCATTGTCCGATCTCTGTCGAAAGATTTTTCAAGAATTGAGCGGAAAAAGAGTTTTGCTGGCGCATTATCGTCTTACTTTTCTGACACTGGATGAATGTGAATAACCTCATCACCTTCGAGACAAAATCTTGCGAATCCCGTGTGCACATACCCTGTTAACCGCCCCGTGTGAATGAACCTTAGCTTAATTGAGACACCCAATGAAAGAGAGTTCCACAGATTCCCTCGACATCGTTATTGTGGCCACTCACGATACCTCGGGACCATTCGTAGACTTACGAAGAAAGATAACGAACTTTCGCGCTTTCGTGAATGCCAAAATTGAGCAATTGAGCAAAATTGAATTTCGTGGCAGGAGAGGTTTGATGAATACCACTTAGGAACTTTTCTCTTCTTACAAAGAAAAAGTTCGTACGTAAAAATGTTTCGTGAATACGGCCCCTGGGCGATTGGCTAAACTATTCAACGAACCATGATGTACCACAACCATGAAGTACACACAAAAAAATCCTAACGGTAGATAATAATAATTAAAAAAACAAATTGAATTTTTACAGCAAAAGAATCCATTGATTCGAGGCTGATTTAATGTTGAAACTTCAACTGTGAATAGCGCAACATTGATCAATGATCATCATTGACAACGTTGATCAGCCAATGTTTAGTCAATGTGGGGGCATAAACGGTGACGGTCGCCGCGTGGAATCAATGTACGAGGATCATTCGATAATTATTGGCAACACTGCAGCAGTGCAACGCTCCATATTGGAGTTGGCAGGAAACAGCCTGTGTGTGAAAGAGTGAATCACGCTACATGCATCANTGCGATTACGACCTCTTCCGGAAATTGAAAGAACCCCTACGAGGCATCCGTTTCAAGACGACAGAAGAAGTCGTAACAGCGATAAGGCGGGCGGTCGCGGATATCACCAAAAGTGACGCTGCTAACGGCGTCAGACGTCTCCCAGAGGTGTGGCAGCGCGTCTGCGACAAGGCAGGAGATTATATCGAAGGCATGTAAAATTTCAGGTTTCTACAATAAATACTTTTTGATTAATTACAGTGTTGCCAATAATTATCGAATGATCCTCGTAGATTCAACATGGAAGTATAAACCCTCAACAGTGATACATTCAATCCGCACCAAATCAACGTTGAATCAATGTTATGTGCTACCTGGGAAGTTTCCTTCGAAATCCTGATCATTATCCGGATACAATGCAGACAATAATTATGTCGAAGCAAGTAGCAATCATTATGAAGAGCATTCTGTGTGTGGATCTTAGGTGCAGGTTTGAGAATTCCCCCGTGGATAATCATGTAGTATTCATTCGAGGAGATTGGGCTATTTGATTATTCAAGTAATGAAAACCGTTAAGACTGCAAGAAACGCTATAAATTCAGCCTACAATCGAGTTTACGGTGAAAAAATTATGTATTTCAATTGGAATCCGCTGGCAAGAGATTCGTTTTTCATTTTCGGCATTCCGTATTTGAAGAATGTCTGCAGAAGCATCGGTGAAAAGCGACGGCATTTCCGGCAAAAAGATATCTCTTATCGTCCATGAGGGATAGGTTGTATTAGTAGGCACGCGGTTTCGGCAATGAGATGTCATTTTCGGCGTTACGAAGGGAACACTCTTCGATTACTGTCCTACGTGAAATTGAATGGAATTCGCGAATGGAATCTCAAGATCCGAAACGAAATCTGGAATACATTGTCACGTGACACTTTCTGGCTAAAATTCGCTGTCGACGAGCAAAAATGAAATTGAAATGATTGCGAGTGAATACTCACAGAATGTTCCTCAGTAGAGCAAATTAGAGCAAATAGAGTAAATGCAAATTTGAGACATTTCTTGGGAGGTTGTTATGGGACGTTCTTACGAGTGGAATGGGAAATCGGTCAGAAGGGCTGCGGGACAGGCAAAAGTTCCACCCGCATTTTAATGAAAAGCAAAAAAACTTCTCCCTAATTTGAAAAAATGTCATTCCGACTTTAAATCCGTTATTACCCATTCCTAGTGCAACTCCTAACACATGTTTGCGAGTCGAAATATGTTAGCGATTTCACAGGTGCTTCACTTTTGTTGCTAGATCCAGGCTGAAGAGTGCACCCGAGTGCCGAATATCGTCATTTGTGCCGAAACCCAATTTCCTCGATGAATTTCAATCGTCAACCGTCCGTTTTGTGTTTTCAAAATGACGAAATGTAGGGAGAAATGCTGAAATTCCCATATAAGGTGACGGGAAAATCCTTGGATGGGTAAAGCCCACCGAGCATTCTCTGTGTGCCGAAAATTCATACTGAACGCCGATATCCAAATTCGCAGCGTTCCTATCTTTTCGCCAGTTTCTCATTATTGTGGTAGTGATCGGACCGTAAAGCTCCCATCGGTGGCTTCTGCAATCGAATGTTGGTAAACTTAATTTCCAGCTAGAATTTTTTTGTCGCCGCTATTCAATTTCTTCTCTTCCACGAACTACGAGGAGGAATACCAAAATGCAGATAAAGGATGCCGAAAATGATTATTCCTATTGAGAAGTTGGCCGAACATCATCTGCGCGCCGAAAATTCGGTCAAAACGCGAAATTTTCAATGAAGCCAATGCAGAAGAAGCATTGGTTTCATCCTACTTATTTACGCAGACCCAGGGGGCTTAATCTCTTTGGAAAGAAAGGGTTTAGCCTTTCTTCTGTGCCAAATTAAGAGATTTCTTACGAATTCAGACGAGCACCCCTCACAACTAACCATTCTTTACCTTCTTAGTCTGGCATGTGGCCTA